ACAGAGCAGGTCTAGAGCCTCAGTCTCCCTAGCTATAAAATGGGTCTAATAATAGCACCCAGCCTTCCTGGGGTCATTGTGAGGGTAAAATGAGGCAATGCATATTAACCTCTCATCCTCGGTTTTGGCACATGGTTAAACAGATTCTAGTAATTGTTATCCTTTTTGGGGACTGGATCCCCTGAAGAGGTGAATAAAAATAAAAAACCTTAAGCCAGAATTTACCCATCACAGACACACATGCACAAACACACAAGCAAACCACACACACACACACACACAGACATCATATGCACACACACAAACACACACACACACACATGCACAATTTTGCATCCAATTTCAAAAGGTTCCTGCAAAGCCCCTTTGGTATAATTAATATATACTAATGAAAAAAAGAGAGAGAGAGAAGGCTCCTGTACACAGCTCTGAAGGCAGTCTGAATGCTCCTTTAAAACATGGAAGTTCCTCCCAGCTCAAAAACTCTCCGAGGCCATGAGTACATGGTGCCGACCTCTGTCTCCTCCCTCCCTGCCAGGCTCAGGCAGCTCAGGAAACCTTTCCTGACATTCAGGGCCAAGCACAGAGACAGGGCTTGGAAAAATCCTAGTGCCTGGAGGGCGGGCCTGGGGTAAGAGCGACAGCATGGATTCCGTGAGCTCATCCCAGCAGCCGTCACCAGAGTTCCCAGAGAGGCCGGTGGCGTCAGGAGGGGGTGACTGGGTGGGAGCCGCCAGTGGTGGCTCAGGCGGCAGCAAGGGGTGTGGGGCTAGGAGAGGGAGGCTAGATGGAACACGCTATAATAGCGGCTTTGTGCTCTGCTTCCCAGCTCCCTGGGAACGCCAGGAAGATTATGAAACCCGGTGTCTTTGGGAATGCCAGGATATTAGCTGGAAAAAGAATAATACGAAAATAAAATAATGCTCGGGATGGAGACAGCAGACGATTAGCAGACGGAGCCAGGGCCTCCCGCTCCGCAGAGGGAGCCAGGCTTGGCCTCTACAGAAGGTTTCAGGGAAAGGCTGCCCGTGCTAATGAGCAGACAGGGCCTGCCTTCCAAGAGACATCTTCCCGAGGGAACTGGCAGGCAAGGCCCAGCCCTCCAGGGATACACAGGCCAGGAAAGAGGTGGCAAGGGGCACCCAAGTCTAGTCCCTGGGCCAAGATATTCAAAACTGTCAGGTTACCAGGAAGGGGCTCCCTGGACCCCACCCACAGTCCTTCCAGATCTGACTCCAGTACTCTCCTGCAAGAAGTCTCCCTTATTAGGAGCTGTCACTCTGGAATGGCCTACCCTCCCTCCAACACTTAAGAGATGCAGATTCCAAGGGGCTTATTTGCATTCACCTGTGAACTTCTTTTGTCCTAATCACACAGGGCTCCACTCTCCAGGGCCAGGCTTCCACCATCAGATGGTGGCATTAGAAGATCACTTCTGTCCCACCACAGGACAGGGAGAACAGGACATCTTTTCCTGCCTCCCTATGCAGGACGCTGGGCACACACTTTCAGCCAGGTAAGGACATTCAGTCTCTCAGAAAAGCATCCAAATGGGGCAATGTGACCACCTCCTTCATCTTCATTATATACTATGTCCTTCACATCCTCATTATTCAAACACAGCCCTCAGGCCAGCAGCATCAACATTACCTAGCAGCTTGTTAGACATGGAGACTGTCCGGCCCCACCCGGACACTGAATCAGAGTCTGCATCTTAACAAGATCCCAGCTGGCTCCTTTGCTCATTAAGTCTGAGAAGTGATCTTTACAAGTATCACTGTTAATCCTTACAATCATGCTAAATGCATTTCCTTTCATGAGTGAGGTAACTGAGTCCCAAAGGTGTGAGGACCCTGTCCACAGCTAGGAAGCAGAGGACACAGAATCTAGAGCTCACCTGCACACTCAGAAGCCTTTCCATCCCACCACATGCGCAGTAGGTACCATCAGTAGACACTGGCCAAAGACCAGTGCTCAGGACAGCTGCAGGCTTCTGGCACCAGAAAAGCTAGTCATTTTCCCCAAGATGCAGAGTGGAGTTCAGCCCCTGGCTGGTGCATAAGTATGTCCCAGGGCAAGGACAATGAGCTCAGGGATGGGAGACCTGACTATTCTTTGTCCCCTAGCAGGAAACACGTGAAGGTGCCGAGGCAGGCAAGGGTGGTATGTGGTGTGTCTGTGACTATGTGTGTGTTGGGGTTAATGGGGGTTCAATTCACTCAGGTACAGAATGATCCAGACAGTTATTATTAAATGGGCCTAGGGCTCTGTCCAAATACGGGACACCTAAAGACTTTCCAAAATTCTGTGGTCTCCGACTCCAGGTCTGTGGGATCCGCCCTCTCAAACCACTGTCTGTCTCCCTCGGGTTCTCCACGTCAGCCAAGTTCTCCTGACACTCAGAGGGCCTCCCTGGGCTGCTTTCTTCTGCGTATCACAAGCCAGTCACATTTGAACTGAATCCATCACCCTCCCACGTCTGTCAACTTGACACTTGATTACAGGGATCCCTCATGACATTTTCTCCCACAGAAAGAATAACTGAATTGGTTTCTCTGCTTCCGGGAAATGTCCCCTCCCCACCCATCCTCCGTTCTCCCAGTCACAAAAGCCATGAAAGCTTGGCAATGGGTTCCCTGGTCCTGCTCACCTTCCTCCCCCAGGTCCCAGTCAGCCCCAGCGTCCATCCATGCTTCCATTCACACGTCTCCAGACACCTCTAGCCTTGCACCCCCTCCCCACTTGGTCCCTCCCTGCCCTGGGCCGCCTGGCAGGCAGCCGCCAAATCTGCCTTCCTCACACTGCACTACACCGTGTGTCAGACTTGCCAGGACCAACCGTGAACTCATCACAGCCCCAGGCCCGCCCCATGTCCTGGCACTGGTAGCAGTCCCTCCATCCAACCAGTAGAACCTCTGAGGCTCCTCTGACCTTCCCTCCCATACCCTGCAACTCCATCACCCTCCACCTTGGTCCCACAGCTACTACCTCAGAGGGTGATCTCATCCCTGGATCTCCACCCAAAACTCCTGATGATTTTTTTCTCTCTCAACCATCTTCCATGGCTACTTGTTGGTGGTCCTAAAACCCAGTTCTAACCAGAGCACTCTGCTCAATAACCCACACTGGTTTCTTACTGCTCATTGAATAGATTCCTGTTCCTGCCATCTGGAGCTCTTCACCCAGCACTATTTCAGGTTTCTTTTCATTTTCGGAAGCTCCTCTCCCCAACTTGGTGCTGTTGTTAACCACACAGCAGGAGTGTAGCCCAAGATGGCCAGTCAGGACCCTCTGTCCCTCACCCTCAGGTAAGGGTCTGCCTCAGGCACACAGCCAGGCAGAGCCAGTCCCTTCCACAGACTTTACTGGCACTACTGAGGAAGTGTACTCTGGGGTCTCCAGCTGGGAAGTAGACTGCACTTCTTTATCTAACAAGGCTTTGTGAAATGGCAGGATGGATGCCAGCTTTTTGTCACTAGGGTCATCTTTGCTACCATGGAGAGAGCCAAAGCGGATGAGGCCAAGCAGAGAAGTGAGGGCCAAGGATACCATGTTAACGTAAAGTTCCTACTGTCCCAATCCTTGGCCTCTTTTTTGGTCACTTCTCAGCTAAGTGAGTCCAGTAGTCCCCTTTTCTTGTGAACTCGTTTGAATGGCATCTCCATGTGATGGAAACAAATCCTGGATACTAATGTGCCTGCAAGGGCCTTCCTCAAGCTCTTCCTCCCTCATCATCAACTGAGCCACTTGACCACCCCACCCTGCCCAGTGCACCAGCAAGGCCCTTTGGACTCAAGACAGAAGGAGTCACCAAGCACAGCCCTGTTCCTACCCAGGCCACAGCTCCACCTCATCCTGCTACTGCCTGGCTGAGGACCAATCCAGCACCCTAGAGAACCAGGTCCAGGCTTAGAGGGGTCATGGTCGAGGCACAGAGGGGCCTCCTGCCCTAGCCTGTCACAGGCTGCTTTGACAACACCTGGTCACCAGAGAATTTCCTCCCCTTCACTGGATGGCCAGGCCTGGCTCACTATCAGTCTGAGACTGACAGGCTTCTCTGCCTTGCCCACTCCCTCCTGGGACCACTGCTGGCTTCAACTCCTTCCTCTGCTTCCACTCCATCAGATCCTGAGTCTGACCCACTGGACCCTGAACCCCATAGAGCCAGCCTGTCCCATGGATATGTCCCTGATCTGGACCAAATACACATACGCACATACATAGCTAGCTGCACTAGGACAGCCTCATGTCCTCTCAAGCAGTGCATCTGGTGAGTCCTGCTTCCCAGAGTCACTGTCCCAGAGCTCCCACAGAGGGTGTACAGTCCTCATTGCATTTCAGAGGGGGCATCTCATTCAGGCCTCTCAGTCCCACCCCCAGGAATCCCCAGGCCAGCAAAGCAAGAGATGGCTGTGTGCAGGCCCTAAATGTCCCCATTCAGACTGTCCAGAAGTGCCTGATTATCCCTTTCGGGGACTGCATCACCTGGATCCTGGATGACCTTGAGCTGACCCCAGGACCACTGGCTACAGAGACTGCATATAGGAGCAAGACAGCTATTGGGGGCTGTTTCTAAAACACATCTCCCCCCATACCTTCTATCTCAGGAAGATGCATGTTCCACCAAGGACATTCCAGGGCCACCAGACCTCTCTGTACACTCCTATGGGTAAGCCAAAGGCCTCCCCCCTCCTCTACTCTAGGCCACGTCTACAAGAAGCACAGGGCTGGGTCAGATGCTCAGAGGCCAAGGCCACCTCCCTCTCTGTTCCCATCTTGACTACTCCAAGAAGTAGCAGATCTTCCTGTGCCAAGAAAGAAGCTGTTTCGTTTTTGGAAGACACCCAGACTCTGTTCACTTTCCCCACATGCCACCTCACAGAGACCAAAGCCAGGATGACTGGCCAATGTTCCATCCAAAAGCCCTAACCTGGGGGCTCTGTGCCTATCCCTCATCAGCCACATTCCACCTGACCCCAGACAGGCACAGCCTTACATACCAGGGCCCCCTCAAGGGCAAACACAGCAGCAGGACCCGTCTTCTCCAGCGGCTCCATGCGGCGGCGCCAGCGACGGCGGCGGAAGGCATCCGTCTTGCGGTACTCCAGGTGGAACTTCCAGCCAAAGAGCGAGGCATACTCCCAGCCTTCACCCTCAGCCTCTGCCTGCCTGTGCTGCATAGGAGAACAGGTAGACTCTGAGGCCAGCTGGCAGGCCCTGGCACCTGGTGTCCTGGCTGGCCCCAGCTGTGCCTTCCACAACTCCCCACCAGCACCCTCCAGTGGGAAAACCTGGGAAGGCCACCTCTCAGGTGAAGAGTGGGGCTTGGAGCAGCGTAAGACCCCTAGTCAGAAAATCAGGAAGGGAGAGGAGGCTCCATGGCTGCAGAGAAAGCTGAGGAGGCAGGAAGGGAAGGTGGACTGCAGTAGCGATGGAAATTGGGCATTGGGTCTGCCTGTTTATTTGAATTCGGGGTGGATTGCATGAATCCAAGGTTTTCTTGTCATTTCCTTTTCATCTTCGTATCCCAGCTTATAAAAATGGCAGACGACAAAATCAAGATCCTGCTTCCCAAGCCCAGCTATTTCTCCCAAGGAGGTGGGATTTCAGCCAGCCATGGAGTGATCCCCTGCACTTCCTCCAAGGGACCCTTTCCCAGACCCGCAGGGGCTATCCTCAGACCCACCAGTACAATGGTATGGGCCAGTCCTGGGGGCCAGCTGCATCCCTCCAGGGAAGATGTTATTGGTAGGGAAGTGGGCAAGGCACACGTGGTTGGCCAGGCTCCACCTTTGCCAACTCGGTGCCCCTTTAGGGAGAGAGCTATGTGGTTTGGAGCACCAAGAACAGTTGGTTGTTCAAAACCCTTGCCTTTCCCTGAACCCAGAGACAGTCCTCTCTAGAGTCTCTGTTCAGAGAAAGAATAAGGAAACTGGATCATGCCAAAGACTACATTTAGCCTGGAGGAAGCCTGGTTGTTGGGCCAAAATTCAAATGTGCCTTGGGTAGAACAAAAGGGTCCAAGGAGGCAGACACAGCTTGTGCAGAACATGGGTACCCGTGGACTTTGTGTTCTATGGTATCTGTGCATGTCCTCGGGTAAACACTGATGGAGCCCACCCCAGTCCCTGTCCCAGCCAACACACCTACACTGTGCACCATCCCCAGCTGCCATGAATGTGGGCTCCCAGCTTCAACGGGCTGCCTGCTCCAAGGGGCTGCCCACTTTTGAAGGAGCCATCTCACTGTGTAGATATGTACCCTAGCATACCCTCACAGCCCTCAGGCAATGACAGACAGCTAAGAGTGTACAAACTCCATCCCCTTGTCTCCAGGTGAAAAGGATTCTGTGATGCTCCCTAGGCCACATTCTTGCTCCTTACACCTTTGAGAGGACAGCCTCTCAGTGTGACCTGTGTTCTGGGTGTGATCTATTAGAATCCCTACTGAGTCCCATGTCTCTGCAAATGCCACATGCACACCTGCATGTATCTATGTGCACACATGGCTGCACCTGTGTCCACTATGCCTCCCTCACCTAAGCGCCACCCTCCCATTCCCCACTGGCCTCACCCTCTTCAGAGCTTCCATCTGGCTGAGGTCCCTCCTGCGCAGGCGAACCCAGCGCCGCCTTCGGTGAGTGTAGTACATCTTTTCAGCAGGGACCCAGTGCCTTGGCTTCCGGTCTGGTGGGATGGTGATGCTGTACTCCCAGCCTGGAGGAAGGACATCTGTCATCATTGCCATCTCTCCATTTGAGGCATGCTCACGGACTCTTGAACAGTCAGTGATTCTGGGTCCTAACTTATAGGTTAAAAGTGCCTTCAAAAAAGTCACCCAAAATGGATTAAGAAAATGTGGTATCTATACACAATGGAATTTTATGCAGCCATGAAGAAGAATGAAATGTTATTTGCTGGTAAATGGATGGAATTGGAGAACATCATTCTGAGTGAGGTTAGCCTGGCCCAAAAGACAAAACTCGTATGTTCTCTCTCATATGTGGACATTAGATCAAGGGCAAACACAACAAGGGGATTGGACTTTGAGCACATGACAAAAGCAAGAGCACACAAGGGAGGGGTGAGGATAGGTAAGACACCTAAAAAAATTAGCTAGCATTTGTTGCCTTTAATGCAGAGAAACTAAAGCAAATACCTTAAAAGCAACTGAGGCCAATAGGAAAAGGGGACCAGGAACTAGAGAAAAGGTTAGATCAAAAAGAATTAACCTAGAAGGTAACACACATGCACAGGAAATCAGTGTGAGTCAATGCCCTGTATAGCTATCCTTATCTCAACCAGTAACACTTGTTCCTTCCTATTATTGCTTTTACTCTCTCTTCAACAAAATTAGAGATAAGGGCAAAATAGTTTATGCTGGGTATTGAGGGGGTGGGGGGGGAGAGGGAGGGGATGGAGTGGGTGGTTAAGGGAGGGGGTGGGGGCAGTGGGGAGAAATGACCCAGCCTTGTATGCACATATGAATAATAAAATAATAAAAAAAAAGTCACTCAAATGAAGTAGCCTGGTGAAGGCCAGCAGGCCAAGCCAAGGAGCTATGGTACTCTACTGTCACAACCAGCATGCCTCGAGGGCTGACCAGGGATAGGGCTCACCAAGCTCCATGTACTGCCCACCTTGCTCATCGACCGCCCGATTGAGGTCCGTGGACCATTCTTCATCTTCCCACTTCCAGCCCACAGGGCACTCAATGTCATCTTTGGGAAGCACCTTCTCCCCATTCTAGGCACAAAGCAAGACAGGCAAGTATGAGAGCCTACAAAGAGACTTTAGCAGGGCCACAGAAAAGAAGCCCCAGACAAAAGGGCAGAACCCCTCCAAGACCTGAGAGACTCAGGGTCACTATCCCTTTGGAAGCCAGAGCAAGGAAGATCAGCAGGTAGGAGAAGGGAACAAAATGCCCCAGTCTTCTTTGAACCTTGGGACCAAATGTCCATGACTCCAGGGAAAGTTGATCCTATCACCCCTTGAGCACCACTCTTACCACATCAGTATAGTTATCACTCATGTAGATCCACTGGCCTCCTGGGAGCCGGGTCTGGTTCTCAAACACCTCCTCCACAAAGCTCAGGTGACCAGCATCAGCATCATGGAGCAGGCTGTGGGAAAGGGCCAGTCAGAGCCATGCTGACAACACCCCTGCCCCCAAGAACGCGCCAAGGCCTTGGCAACCTGCACATGTCAACTTGCTATGAGAGAGATGGAGGGAAGGGTGCAGAGACCAGGGAAGAAGCCAAAAGAAAGATTCAGGAACACATAGAGGCAGTCATGGGGAAAAGAACATATAGCCTGAGATAAAGAAAGAGAAAGGAGACCAAGAGAAACCTGGTGGGTAATTGAAGTTCAACAGATAATTATAGAAATATGTTATCAAGCTGTACACTTAAGATTCGAGTACTTTATATATAATTCACTTCTTCAAAATAATTTTTTTAAGTTGCTAAATGTTGATTGAACAGGAAAAGGGAGAAGAGAAAGGCAGAGCTGGCAAGTGTGGAAGGAGAACAATACGGACCTCCCAGGAGAGTATGTGAGCTGCCAAGGATTTCTTGTGCAGGGCGTGAGGGCCTTGTCCATGGTACCAGGGAGCATAAGGCCACACTATTGGGCACAAAGTCCAATGGAGGCTTAATATGAAGGAATTTCTGCCCTCACAGAAAGGCATGCTTGCAGTCCTGGGAAAAGCCAAGTGGCAGTTCCTGTGACAGTTCAGGAATAGTCAAAGGGATTGATGGAGCGGAGGGTTTCAGAGAAAGGGACGGTGTGGAAGAGGTGGCCCTGGTAGGCAGCTTGGCCTGGCCACCCAAACCCTCTCTGCCCACAACTCACGTCTTCTCCGGACACACGAACCAATCTCCTGCCCAGGCCCAGCCAGTTGAAGGGCGAAAGCTATCCTTGGGTAACTTGATCTTTCCTGTGATGTCAGAAAACTTGGGGTAGGTGAGGCCTGTTGTGCCCCAGTTCCCAACTAGGGCCAGCTTGGTCTGATTTTCATACTGTGGAGTGAGGAAGGAAGAGAAGTGAGTGGGAGCAGAGCAGCTAGGGTTGAGGGGCAGAGGCAGGTTGGTGGGCACTCACAGTTTCAGCAAATACAGAGAGCTTCCCCTCGGCAAACTGGTTGAACTCCTTCTCATCCACAGAGAGCCCGAACCAGAGCCTGACTCGTATCTGCGCTGGCATCCGGGCCCCAGGTACCCCCTCCATTGGATACTGGGTATCAGAGAAACACAGAAACCCACAGCCCCCTTCAGGATCAGAATGTCCAGACCTGGGAATACCAGCCCCACACTCTGTCAGGTGTGCCCTGTTGGGGGACTTCACAGAATGCAATGGAAGTAGGTGTGTAATTAAGAAAACCTCTCCTGCCTTCCAAGGCTCCTGCTCATCAAAGAAGACCATACCATCCCACCCAGGAGCCCTCTACCCCCACAGGCAATATCTAGAGCTAGACAACATTCTCATGTCCATCCTCTTTTAGAATCCCACTGTCCAATGGAGTTCTCTGCAGCCACGGAAATGGTTTGTATCTGTACTATCCAATATGGTAGCCACAAGCCCCAGGTGGCTGCTGAGCATTTGAAATGTGGCTAGTGTGACTGAAGAACTGAATTTTTAGTTTTCTTTTAATTAATTTAAATTTAAATAGCTATGTGTGGCTACCATATTGGACAGCACCATTTAGAATTTGTCCTAAAGGAGAAACAATGATACAGATCTGGAAGATAAAGAAATTAAAACCATTTTATTTCATTTTCAGTATTTTATATTTTGGCTAGACATTAGTATATCATCTAATATCCCTGTGTTTTCAAGTGCTTATCAGCGTGCTAACCACTATTCACTGTTCTTCAACTGCTTTTTATCCTGAAACTTTCAGAAGCTTTGCCAAAATGGAATAACCACAACAACCCAACATAAAAAAATTATTCCCTACAATTGCTTCACCATTTGACTGAAACCAAACGTCAGATATGGCCTGAGGAAGAGACATTTTTCACTCTTAGAATAACATGCTGGCCCCTAGAGGCGATAACACTGTAAATACCAGGCTCACGTGCATGAGCTCATAAGAATATGTCCTGGAGAGCAGAGTGAGAGAAGGGAGTTCATGTGGGCTCAGAACAGGAAAGAGGAGCTGAGGTAAGAGGGGGGCACAAATCCCTGGAGGGAGAGCCCAGGCAAAAAAGAGGCTCAGGAAAGGGCGCAGGCCATTTCCCAGCACTCTTCTTTTGGTTCACCCTCAGTGAAGTCTTGCAGAACCCCCAATTCCATGTGACACCCTCTGTGAGCATGTCCCCCCATGGCTGTTCACTTCAGCTGTCCTCTCCCCAGGGTGGTTAGCTGCCTTTTCCCCTCCAAGCCACCAGCCCCCAGGAGATGGCAGGAATGCCTGACCCCCCCTTCCCATCCACTCCAGCTCTTTCCCTGCCCTCCCCCACTTGGGGCCAGCCTGCCGAACCCAAAATAGCAACAGCAAATAAAGAAATGTCTAGTTTGGGGCTCCTCTCCCTTTCTGCTGGTACTCATTTTTTCCAACTTTGGTTTAAGTTAAGAAACACCAATGTTTTCTTGGTCTCCACTTGCTGCCAACATTTTTGTAGCGCTTGCTCAGGAGCTACTGGCAGAGCTCATAAACTCAGTGGGGAAGACTTCGAGAAACAATTCGACATCTTTTTTTTTTTTTGCTTGGAATCAGGGAAATTTTTAAGTTTTCATTTTCCTGAGGCTGCAAGGCCAAGAGGTCAGGGGCAAAGCTCAATCGTTGCAGTGCATCTACCAGGCATGCCTCTGTATCCCCACCCCTGCTCCCACCACCCTGCCTTCCTGGCCAGCCTTGCTCAGAAAGGGCCACTACTTGACTTCCTCATCTTTCTGCCCTATAAGAGGCTGGCTTAGGAGGAAGATTCTTGGTCAGGAATCGAAGTTAAGATCAGACAAGTGAAGTGCCCCAAATGGCATGTGAGTAGGCAAGAGGGTCAACACACACACACACACACACACACACACACACACACATACAGGAATGCACTCAATCTTCCCCTCTGGGCTTCTCTGAAGTACCAATGATCCTACATGCAGATACCTGCTCATTCCTGGCCTTGGGTTGACCTCCAGTCACGGTACTTATAAAGCAAAGGAGCTCCCCAAAAGAAGATGGGAGAAGTAGGGAGAGACACTAATATCTGTTGAATACCTAATCCCAGACCCATCACCTGTATTATCTAAGTTAGTCCTCAAAGTCTGTGAAGTGTGCAGCTTTATCCTCATTTCACAGGTGAGAAGAAAAGAGGCAGCTCAGAGAAGCTAGGCACTTGCCCATGGCCACACAGAGTTCCAGCCAGCCCTGGTAACCCATCCATACGTGCTGTCCAGCTGAAGTCTGTCCTTGCCACCCATTTCAGGGCAATGCAATGGCTGACCAAAATACCCATAGATACACCAGCAGTCAATAGAGGGCTCTACTCAGAGGGTTCAAGGCTAAGGTTAGCCAACAATCACTTCCCAGAAGAGGTGAGGTGGGAGAAGAGATGTATGGAAGGGGAAGGTTGGAGTAAAGGGCTTTTGGTAAGATGGACCAGGCTGGGCAGAAGACACACAGTTTAGACTGGAGAGGTCTTGAACATAGAGCTGTGGGGAGCAGAGAGGGAGGAGTAAAGAACAGGCCAGCTTCCTGGCTACTCAGCCTTTAGCAAGGCACAATAAATGGTGATCTTCAGAAGGACCCTCCCTTTGGGCCTGCGCAGCCATAGCACAAGGAGGGTTTCCCAAACTGTGTTCTGGTCATCAGCCACAGTCTTGACCAAAGCAGCCCTGGCTTCATATCCCAGAGAGGAAAATGAGGACCCCTCTCTAACACCCTCTCATTTCCCCACCAACCCACTCCAAGGTTGGTCAACTCCCAAGAAAAAACAGAGAGGGAATAAGAACGGGTATAGGAAGAGGAGAAAGAGAAGAAGAGGTATAGGCTGGGTATACTTGCTCCCAGACCTCTTAGGGGTCCACACCACAGACACAACTCATCCTGAGCTCCACATCCCAGTCATCCCAGCAAGGGAGCTTGAACATGGCTCTAGCTAGGCTCCAGGGCACTTATGCAGGTATGGAGACCTGGTCTGTGCCAGGAGTGTTAGAAGCTAAGAGCTGACAGTTAATCCTTCCTGCAAGGGACCTGCCCTGGAGGACAGCACAGCCTAAGGTATCCCCCCACTCCTTGCAGACAGCCTGGAGCCATAAACTACTCATTCATTTCTAGCTCCATGATTTGAGCTCCAACTTACTAACCTTCTAGACAGTATGTGTGGGGTCTGGGGACTTTGTGAGAAACAGAGGAAAAAGAAAGTTATTCTATCCAAAGATCTCTCTCCTTCCAACACCAGAATCTGATGACTCTGCCATAGGCCCAGAACAGAAAGGGAAACTGGGAGAATTATAAGAAAGACCTTGTATTGAGAAAATGATTGTGACCTACGAGAAAAGAAAACTCACTTTTAGAAAGATCGTCTGCAGCTTCCCACAATTCTTGCCACAGAAGTTGGCACCCCGCCGGGAGAAGAGGACTTCGTGGGCAGGAACCCGCTGGTAAGCCACACGCTTGTCTCCCTGCAGCATCCAGATGACGATGTCTGGCAGGCTGTTCTGAGGCTAGAAAGAGTGGCAGTTAGGGTGGTGACAGTGACATACATGCCCAGGCCCATGCCTCAAAGTGGCACCATGAGCTGACCTCTGACTCAGAGGCCGCAAGGACCTCGCCTTCCCAGCTTCCACCCCTACACCACCCACCCCTGACCCTCCTCTTGACCTTCCAGGTTGGGTGGGAGTCTGACTGCAGCTGCTCTGAGCCCACAAAGGACATGGCATGAGGCTGCCCCAAGCTCATATGAAGAACCTGTCAAACTTCACTGAACTGAGCACAGGTTTCTAGGACGAGACCTCCTACCTGGAGCACAGAGCATCACTCTTAGGTCTTCTCTATGGGGGTAGATGTTTCCAGGGGTAACTGTTCCACTTAAGACATCAGCCCCTTCTTCTGCCCGGGAGCAACAGCAAGCTCATGGAAAATGAATTTTTCCCAGAGGACCTTTAGTCCTCCTCTTGCTAACAGCAGGACTGTGGGGGCTTGAGACACTGGGCTCTGAATGAGGAAGCCAGCCCAGGATAGAAAGCGAGACCTCTGACCCTCGGGTCTCTAGTAGTGAGTGGCAGCTGCCCCAGCTGCACACTTTGGAGAGAAGCTGGCTGGGGAAGGGGCTGCCTGCTTCCAAGGATGGTGAGCAAATCTCCACCCAGGCCTGTTGCCAGTCCCACGCTCCTGGAGCTCTCACTGACAAATTGCACGCCTCGTCCCACAGAATCCCTGCAGCAGCCCACTTGACAGGCTTAGAAAGGGAAGGAGCCAACGTAGGTTTTCCAAACTCCAGATATGTGCTCCTCACCATTGTACCCAGGCTTTTCAAAGTAAGGCCCCAGAGGCAGCAGGCCTGGGGGGGGGGGCAGGAATGCTGGGGATTCTGATGCACAGGCACGTTTGCGAGGTGCTCTCCAGTTCCCTTATAGGCAATACCCTGCTCCCCATTCAGCCTTACCTCTTCCCAGTCATATTATAATCTGTGCCAAGAGGACAATGTCAGTCTAATGGTAAGATTATAGAGGCATTCAGTAACCTGCCTGAGGGACAGTTCTTCCTTCTTTGATGGGTTGGTGTATGGCTAAACCACACAGTGTATGTCCCAGAAACCTGCAGCTCTGTCCAGGGAGCATCCAAGGCCCATCACCGTTTCCTGAGTGGCCTTTCCCACCTCCCTCTACAGTCTGCTGCTCCAAAGGCCACCTCCCAGCTACCCTTCTCTGCACCCTCCCATGGACATCCTTCCTCACCACCTGCATCTCCTCCCTGGAGGCCCCACGTCTCTGGTCAGAGTGGATAGCAGCTGCAGCTGCCAAGGACCTGTGGGCAGACATTTCTCCTCATTCTGAACAAACCCTGTGGCCTGCTTGATTTCTGGGAAATGAGGTAAGTATACCCAGCCTCACAGACTAGGGAGGGGTGGACAGGTAAGACACACTGTTGTCAATTTCCAAGATACAATAAGGTTCAGAGTTACAGCAAATGTAGCTTCCCTGGCTGCAGAGGCATCCAGCAGAATAGGAAACACAGGGCTTGAGAGAGGCAGGCTTGAGGCACAAAGGTACTGGTAGGCAGGAAGGAGTCAGGTCCCAGGAAAAGTAGGCCCCAGCATGGGACCTGGAGCCAGGCACTCTAGGCTCAGGTCCCAGCACTAGCTCTGACATCCTTTAGTGAGCTGGGGGCATTTATTGAGCACTGATAATGTACCAGGCCCTGTGTTGGGCCCCATAACATCCAATATCCTATTGTATCCTCTTACTTCCTTCTGTAAATGGAGATATTGAGGCTCAGAGAGGTTAAGTCACCTGCCCAGGGTCATCCATTAACGGATCCTGGGTTGAATCATGGTCCCAACAGTTTCAATTTTCCCTCCAAGTTTTCCCTATGTCCCTCCCAGTTACAATTTTCCAGGCAGCAGGAAGGCAGAGAAAGGAAGCCAGCCCTCAGGATTAACTACCTCTTCTGCCAGGGCACGGAGACGCAAGAGCCAGTCCTCAGCCTGCTCCAGGGCAGCAGGGAGCTCACTCTGACCAAGCTTCACGGCCAGAGCAGCCTCAGTGATCTGGCTCAGGTGGCGGGTACGTAGCCGGAACAAGTACTGGTCCAGGTGGGTGGCAGAAGGTGTCTCATGGACACCACTCAGGGGCTGGCTGTAAGAGACAAATGGAATGTGTTGATGAGCAGAGGCCCTGCACACCTACAGGTGCAGGCACACACATGTATGTGCACACAAGCATATGCAAGTGTGTGTGTGGCCTCACACCCTTAGCTGGCCTGCTAGGTGCCTTCTCCACCCTGATTTCCAGGTACAGTAATCTCTGTGTGACAGGCTCCATCCCACTTCCTCCAGAAAGTCTTTCCAACCACAGTAGCTCTTTTGCTTCCCACTCTGAAGCCTCAGCCTTTTACTTTGGGGCCACCTTTGTAGGACTCACCCTCAGTCTCCAGTCTGATGAGTTCTTCTGCATAAGTATCCCCCTCCCCTTGCAGTATCCCCTTCTGACTGAAAGCTCTCAGAGGGCCCAAAGGCTCCCTCTCCTGCCTCCTGTGCCTTCCTAGAGCAGAGGCCCAGTGCTAAATTGCCCCACACCGAAACAAATCTGTTCTGTGTTGTATGCACTTTCTCCAACGGGAAATTTATGGACCCCCTGAGGAGCCACTGCAGACACTGTGGGGAGGCCAGCAGCCAGTAATACAGATGCATCCACCCAGGGCGGCCCTACAGCACCCCTCCCAGAACCCCCAGAAAAGAGAGGGGGGGCGTACATACAACCCTCAAACACAGCCTTGAACCCCAAGAGAGGAGTTAAATTTAAACTCAATCATATTTGGAGCCAAAGAACTCTGACCCTCCACCCCCACTCCCACCTCCCACAGGGGCTCCCTAAAAGACCTTAGAGAAGCTGCTACGCACCATACCAACCCTGGGACTGTCCATGCACAAGGGTCAGGAAAGACAGGGTGGGGGCATCTATGCTCTCCTTCCCCCAATAGAACCCCTCCTGACCATCCCTGACTGAGTGTAAGGGGGCCGCCCTGCCCCCACCCCGCCCCTGGCCGAGCCATTGACTCTCAAACAGGACATTAGTCAAAGCTGCTCAGTCAGATCTGCTCCCACTATTCCAGCACCCCCCAACACACACACTCACACACTCACACACTCACACACTCACACACACACACACTCCCCTCCCCACAGCGTCTCGACTCCCGGCTCCCGGCTGATTTATTTTTCTGCCAATTTCCCCGAGCTATGCAGAACCAATTACCGCCGGAGCGCAGCGGCACCGCTGCCGCCAGATACACCACTCTGGCAGGCCCTCGGCGCACTGCATTTTTCCTGTTATTTTTTTTAATTGAATTTTTAGGGTGGGGGAAGCAGTACGCGAACTCCATCTCGGGGAAACTTAAGCCCCGGGGCTGGTCTCAGGTCACGTACTGCACACCCTGTAGTAATATAATATTTACTGCCCCAAGGGTGCCGCGGACAGGCTGCCCCAGGCCGGCAGCGGGCGGCCCGCTGGCTCGCGGAGGCTGAGGCCACGCTCGGTGGGTGAGGGGGGCCTGGGCCGGAGCCCCGGGCTGGGGCTGCCTGCGAGCCAGGCTGAGCGGGCCTGAGGGCGGGGAGGCGGGGTGGAGAGGGCCAGGGAGAGCCCAGCTCAGCCTACCAGAGTGATTTATGCGACCGGCCTGGTTGGGAAGCTGGGAGGGGACCGCGATGCAGACCACCAAAGGGAGATTTTCATGGAGGCCACGAGTCCAGCCAAGACTTCCCAGGACCTGTGAGTGCCACTAACAAGATGTCTCAGCTCTTTCCCACCTCAGGCAAGCCCAAGACAGGGGGTCCAGATAGAAGGGGAGACAGAAGAGAGACTGGGTGATGCTGCACCTCCAACCTGCCCTGCAGATCCCTGCTGACTTGGAAATTGAGGATGAGCCCCTGCGGAGATCAGTGCAGGCTGAGAACACAGAGCTGGACACTGATGAAGTTGCTGCCTGCCCCTGTGGGACCAAGTGGGTGACTGTATCAGGGACAATCACAGGTTGGGAGATAATCACCCAGAAAGATAAACTGGCTTCAAGTCATTCATTTCACTCCTTGTGAACAGCTCGCTGGACCTGAGCTGAGCTGGTAGCTGAGCCCAGAGAGGAGATCCCAACCTGCTTTCTCTCTGGGAGAAACAAAGGCAGTCTACATTCCCCATTGGAGCAGCCTCAGAGCCAAGCTGCACCTGCACAGCCAGAAGGAGATAGTCAGGCCCAAGAGAGCAGGAAGAGCTTTGTGGCTGTTGGAACAGCACATGCACAGGACTGAATGCTCAGAGGCAAGGGGCGGGTTGTGTGATGGGAAGGGCCCGACAAGCCAGCACAGCGAATCCAAAGGGATCAGGTCCATGAGGCAGGTGGTAGGAAACAAAAGTCTGCTCACCAAGATAAGAGCTGAGACTTCTCCAGAGTGCAGTGGGAGCCACTGCAGGGCTGAAGTGGAGGCACATTTTAGTCAGACAGGGGGATGCTAAAGGGGACTAGAGAGGAAGGAAAGACATGGAAAAGGAAAGCTGACAGGACTGGGAGTGGAGAAGAGAGGGAGGGCAGAGCTGGCTGTGGGGTTTCCAGTGTGAGCTACGGGGATGGTGGATCCAGGAGGAGATAGAAAGAGGGAAAGTGATGAAGTCTGTGTGGGGCATGTGCAGCTCTAAGCACAGCCAGGCTGGACTAGCAGGACAGTCAAGAGGTCCAGCAGGCAGCTGGGGCCATGAGTCTATAGATCAGAGAGGACTGGGCTGTAAGAGCAGAGCAGAAGCCACCGGCCCAGGGTAAATGGGGAGATGAACTAGAAAAGGGGTCTGAGCCAGAAGGAGGGACACCGATGCTGGAGATGTGGGCAGGGCTGGCTAGGAAAATAGGTGAACATCTTAGGTCAACCATGACCTGCTGGCTTGGGGACCCAGTGCCTGGCCACTTTGCTTGTCAGCTTTGATGATGGTCAGCATCAGACCTGAGGTAGAGGAAGCCCTCTAGCTAGGACAAGGCTGCTCCTAAAGGAATTTGTCCTGATGTGAGAGCCATTGTTGCATTCCCCAAGAGAGGATGAGAACCTAACTCCCTCCCAAGCTGGAACCAATGCGCCAGGAGTGACTCAAGGGACCAGGTTCGACAGAAGTGTTTTTAGCCAAATTCTCCAAGCAGAACAATGAGGAGGGCACTAAGGGCAGACCAGGACCGAGTCCTGCCCATTCTGATGTTCCAGACACCACAGACCTGCCAAGGTCCACCCCACACATGAGTCATGAGCAGTGCCACGGGAAACCCACTCTGTCTGCCTACTGCCCTGGAGACAGTGCCAGACGGACACAGCCAACCACTCTACAGGTGTGGCCTGGGGTGCAGGAATGCCCTGTGAGTGCACCCCACAGTTGGGAATGCCTCTGTGTGCCCTTCCAGCCCCACTTGTCTTCCCACCTCCAGACCATGGGGCCAGATTCCTCACGGGTGCCTTCTGACACCTCACCTCTCCCATGCTGCTCCCCCTCCTGCAGAACCCCTCAAACAATGGCCCCAATGACTATCCAGCTACCCTGGCCAGAACCATGGGATCATTCTGGACCTTTCTTTGCCCCCCACCTCTAATCCACCGTCAAGTTCTGTGTGTTATAGAGCATTACAGCAACTTACTTGACATGTGAGTCTGGGTGTATCAATCAACCTCTCTATGGTTCAGTTTCCTCATCTGTAAAACCTACTCCTTAGCTCATAAGAGCTCTATGACTAGTTAATATGTATAAAATTTTTAGAGCAGCACCTGCTACAATATGCTGTTGTCCTAATACCTCTTAAAATGTGTCCATATGCCCTCTGTGTCCCTCAGCTCCCACCCTTCCTAGCATCACTGCCTTATCTTTGTCCCAAATTTCCCTACACCAGATCCCCTAGCTCTTGTCACCTCACCACCACTACCAACCAGTCCATCCCTCACGCTGCAGCAAGAATGAACATCTGTACCCAGGGGTTGCATTGCCCTACAATAGGCCCCAGGCTTGAGCTCTGCTTGGTGGAGCCCCTAAGGTCTGCCCCCTGGAAATCAGCTGCTCTCTCCCTCTGCCTGAGCAATCTGCTCTCTGAAGGCCAACTCTGTTCCCCCTCAAAGTTCGCATGGGCTGTCCCTCCTCCAGGGAGCTTCCCTGAATTCCACTGGTTGGACTCTGAGTTCCTGGAGTCCATGCCTCTTAATTCCCCGACACATTTCACATTCAGGATTTTTGCATCCTTCACCCCACTAGAGGGCTGAAGTTGCATCCATCAATATGCCTGGCACTGAGTCTGCAAGGCTTCAGGAATAAATGACTGACCTGTCTAAAATTCCACCACGGCGGGGAGAGGGGGTTGTCATTTGGGATAACACTTAGATGAAAATGCACTTCCTTACTAACTGGGCTTTGTAGGATTGGAAGAGACACTGCATCAGACGACATGGTTCCTCATGTCTCAGCAGGAAGGCATTTCTCTATAGCCTGGCTGAGGGAGGGAATGATGAGATACAGAAGAGGGCACAGAACACATTTGCGTATATTCACACTTAACCCCACAGAAAACAGAAGGGCAACTCATTCTCATTAGCCCATCTAACAGCTAAGAAACTGGGGGCCACAGAATTGAAGCTGCCTAAGAAGGCCAGTACCTAAGTCTTCTGAAATTTCTTCTTTTAACAGTAATTTTAGCTCCTGTTTATTAAATTCTTCCTAAGGTCCCAGCACTTTGTTTATTAGATATTGTAAAGTAGTTACTCCTTATGCCACATTGAAGTTCAAAGCTCCCTTTGGAGTGGCTCCCCAGAACCATGAGCAGTGGAAAAGACGTTGAGATGTGCCCTCTCTGCTGGACCTCTGCACCCCCATTCTCCATCACCCCAGAGGCCCCCTTTTCCTGAATTTGATGATCAGGCATGTCAACAGAAGGCCAAACAGCAACTGTGGTCCCTGACATGGCCTCGAGGGAAGAGAGGGGCACCATCCCATCCCCCTCAGCCAGCTTCTCCTGGAGATTCCATCAGGGAAATAAGAGGTCGGGGATCAGAGACACAATGCTCCCCATTCAGGTGAGCCAAGCTGCTCCAGGCCCACAGCTGCCCCTGCTTCGGGGAGATTTATGACCTGCTTTAAATGTCACCTTTTCAACTCCCGCACTGGCTCCACCACCTTTGGACTCCGCACGGGCTGGACTGCTGGCCAAGCATGGCTGGGAGACATGCTGCCATTCACCACCACACATGAACACTCCCAGGAAAACAGCCTAACTGAGCCAGGAGAAGTGGCCTCGTGGGTGCCAGGTACCCCCTACCTGCAGTCTGCGATGAGCTCATCCATCAGCTGAGTCACCAGGGAGCCAATGTCCTCAGTGGAGCACTGTGCCTTTAGGGCCAGGTGGACCTGCTCCAGGCCAGCTTCCTGTGGAACAAGCAGGCCGGGGTCAGGAGTGTCACCAAGGCACGGAAGGTACACCCTGCACCTAACCTCGCACCCCTGTCACTGCAGTCCAGTACCTGAACCAAAAAGGAATGAACAGAAAAAGCATAGAAGGCACAGCCCAGACCCAGTCAACCAGCTCTGTCCTGGTTCAAGAAGCTTCCAGGGCTTTCCACACCCAAATTCCCAAGCCTGGCACTCCAGCCTCGCACATGGACATGTGGAGTCCGTGTGCTGTGTTTGGGCTTCAGCGGAACCTGACTGTATCCTGCTCTTTGCCTGCTGCCTTCACGCTGAGTCTGACTTTCCACAGGCAAGTGGCCCTTTCTGAGCCTGCTGTCACTTCCCTCCTGGAACCTAGCTCCTTTCCAGGCTTAACCACACAGCCAGAGTTAGACCACGTTTGCCTTGCACCAGGAGCCATCCACCCCACCTCCAGTCACATAAAGTTCCTTCTCCCAAAGCCTGCTTTCTTGCTGGGCTGCCTCTGACCTTTTCCTCCACTGAGCACTTTCCCAGAGCTCTCAGTGGGCCTCAGCCCTGAGCAGATGAAAACCATTCTCCAGACTGTCCCCTGGTCCCCAGGTACCTGTGTCCCCACCCATCAGCTTTCCTGAGCATGTGATGTGTGCTCTATAGTGGGATTGCCAGTCTAAGTACAGACCTAAAAAGAAAACACTGTCCCTGCTCTCTCTTTGAGACAATGGCTGAACCAGAAGACAGTCTGCCCTTGCACAGTCCTGACTCAAATTCTCCCTCTCTGAATGTTTGCTGATCTCCTACCCTTGCCCAGAGCTCTCAGGCTTGAGGAAGCTACAGGCCACTGGAGTCTCCACCTGAGCCACTCCCAAGACCCCAATCTTTTCCTTCCCTTCATATCTTTCCTTTGGACCATGCTCATCCACACACATGGCCAGGCCTTTCCAATCCCCTTCCTCACTCTGCTCCTTGCTTGTTCCAACAGCCTGGTCACACCTGCTTTCCCACTTCCTATGTGCTATGCTTCTCAGGAGGGAACCTCCACTCCCTACCCTGCACCCCACACCACAGAAGTGCCTGAAGCCACCACCTGGACCTCCCACCTCCCTTGGTCTCTGCACCTTTGCCTTCTTGTGACTCTCCTCCATTCCCTGGCCAGACCTGCCTGTGCAGGCAAGTCCCTGGAAGTCCCCTCTCCCCAAACACAATGCAACACCCACTCTCTGACACTCTGACTTTCTCCCCAGCTTCCCAGCTCCCAGTCCCCAGAGTCACTTCTCATAGCCCTTCCTTTATCCAAATCCAACAGGCCACCAAAGCCTAGTAGCTGAAGTCCTGCAATTCCCCCCAGAAGGTCATCTCTTTCAGAGCCTCGGCACCCTCCCCTGGACCCTACCACGGCAGCCTTGCTGAGTTCCCACCTCCTGTGTCCCCCACTGGACACAGACTCCCTTGCTGTCCCCATGATGCCTTCTTTATGTTCCTTGGCTACTCTCCCTCTTCTGTATCCCATGACTATCCCTCAGTACCCCAAGTGTCACCTGGATCTAAGTCAAGAGAGCCCTGTGCCATGTATAGTGTGAACGAGCTTGTCTATAGTCTCCTTTACTGCACTGGCTTCCTGAGGCAGGGGCAGCTCGCTGCTCTTTTCTAGCTTCTAGATGGAAGTTTCTAGCATGAACCCTTAAAGGCATGCAAAGAGTCAAAAGGAATCTGACCTGATGGTCCAGCTGAGTCTCTCTCAACCCTGCTCTCTCTCTCTCTCTCTCTCTCTCTCACACACACACACACACACACACACACACACACACTGTTCTCACTCCCTTTTCTACCCAGCATGCAGGACAGGACACAGGACATCAGCCCATGAAGGTCACTGAGCAGTCACGTATCAGTGTGCACTGTGGGTGGCAGGTCTACAGATGTACACAGGTTTGGGACAGGTTTCCACTCACCAGCCGGTCAGCGATCCTAAGCAGCTGGTTCTGATTCTCAATCCTATGGCTGATGTCCTCCCAGTAGGAAGACAGCACCACTACCGGCTTCACATTGCCCCACGGTAAGTAGTAGTAGTGGCACCCTGTGGGGAGACAGACCTGAGTACTGGGCAGGAGCCAAAGGCGAATGGGGCACAGTACTGCAAAGCTAGGGCCCTTGGTCACTCAGGGCTGCAACTGGGAAGGGGACCAAGGATAGAGGGAGACAGGCACCTGCTCCCCTTTCCTTCTAAGAACCCCTTAGGACACATAATGGTATGACCTGTATTCTTGTGTCTATACAAGGTACAAGAGCTCCCTTCATGGGATGGACAGACAGCTGAGGCTCTCCCTGGGGTTCCTTAGCACACTGAATTAGAGACATTGCTAGAACGACCCAGGAAATCCAAGCCTTCATCCCTCAATGTCTCTAAACCAGAGCTCACAGATGTGGCATAATGACCAAAATAGGTCAAGATCAGTACTGACCACAGCACTTTCAGGAGCCTAATTTGGTGGCACTGGCAAGGGGCACCACCTGGAGGAACATAGGGAGAGGAGGTACAGGGAGCACAGCAGGGAGGGTGCACCAGAAAGTTTCCCCAGTACCAGATGCTTTGAGTACACCTCCAGTAGCTTCCTACAGGAGGTAGTATTTAGATCATCTGCTCTATGATCTGGGTCCCCTCCAGGAGCAACACCTCTGGCCTCACCATCAAAGACTGCCCGGCTGTACTGGGTGGTGGAGGCCAGAGGCAGGCAGGTTGTGTCGAACTTGTTCCCATAGTTCCCGATGCTGACCTCGAACTGGATGGCATCGTCCACATCCTGTAGCATGGAAGCCGAGTAGAAGGCAGCAAAGAGAGAGTACTTGCGCCTCCGGAGGTACTTCTGCAGGCAGAAGAAATCATGAGGAGAAGCAAAGTCAGACTTGTGGATGAGGTGGGTCACACATCTGGCTGGCCCTGGTCATGACCAGCACCCAGGAACTCCTAGCTGGGCTTCTGGGTGGCAAATAGTCCAACAAAGAAGCTGTCTCTAGAGTTGGTTACTAACTGAACAAACTCATTCCAGGTCTGTGTGTGTTTGGCCATGTTTCCTAATAAGATCTGCTGCTCCAAGGTCACGTTGCTCCTTAATCCAAACCAGCAGCAACAGCCCCACCATGTCAGCAGAGCAGGGTCTCCACGGTGCCCCTCAGGGCAGCCTAGGCCTCTTCTGCTATTCAGAGAAATTGAAAACTCTGAACCACCAGTTCCTGCCCAGAACTCCCACCCACAGGCACTCAGGTCTCCACACACCAGCCAGCTCGGCAGTATGCACAGGTCACTTCTGCCATGTGTTTAGGATGCATGGATCACATTGTCCCCTCTGGGCCTAGGACACAGGACAGGACATCATAGGCACTCAATCACATGTCTTCATTTGAACCAATGTGATTTTATAGTTAGTTCCCTCCGTGGAAGGCACAGAGAAGAGAGATTAAGCAATTGGGTTTAGAGGAATATAAATAGTAATGATGGCTAATGCTTAATGAGTGATTCCTGCATACATTAATTTACCTCTCTCAACAATCTTATGAGGTAAATATCATTGTCACATTCACTTTACAGACAAGGAAATGGATACTGATAAGTAGTAGAGCCAGGACTCAAACCAGGGCCATCAGACTACATGTCTAAATGTTCCTGAGACAAGGGTAGCTCTACCATTTGCCACTCTGATATATCTGCATCTCGGTTCCTCATATGTAAAATGGGGATAGTAACAACAGTCGCCTCATGGGGTGCTGGGAAGATTCAGTGACATCAAGAAGAAATGGCCCAAACAATGTATGCACATATAAATAAATGAATTTTAAAAAAAGAGCATCACTAGTGGTGCCAGACACATGGTCAAGTGTTTGGTTGACCTACTAGATAGCTATTCTTACATGATTATTATAAAATAGCATATCATTTTGCATTGAGCTCTACACTTTCAAAATACTTTCATTTATCTCCTTTAAGCCTCTGAGCATCCCTAGGTGTTGAGGAAGAGATGTTGTACTATTACCATTTCGCAGCTAAAATGCCAAGACCCAGAGAGGTGAGGTCACAATGAATGTGAGGCAGAGATGTGTCCTTTCTCCAGCATGACACCTACTTGGCCATCTTGCTCCCATGCCCAACAGGGACACACTTCCCTCCAAGCAATGCCCCTCACCTCCACCCGGAGGATGTCATCTGCAGGGAGGTCCTCCACCTTCTGCTCACTGTGCTCCACCAGCTTGGTCTCCAGGGACAGTAGAAGCCGGCCTCGGTAAGCCACACCTTCTCCCTGGGAGGGGAGGTCAAAAAAGAAGGGGAAGAAAAGGAGCACAATTTGACCCTAACACAGTTTATATTCCAGAAGGTGAGCTAACCCATCACTCTGCAGTTGAGGAATTCATGACTCAGAGAGTTCAGAGGCCATGCTGCACCACCCAAATGACTCCAGCCCAACCTGAGAGGGTGAAACCTGAGAGAGTGGGCCCTGGGTATCTTGGGGACCAAGATAGTGAAAAGGTCTAAGTGGCGCTAAGAGAGAGGCTTTGGGAAATGAAGGAAGAAAGAGGCAGGAGGAGGCCAGGCAGAAGGAGGGTGCTCTGAGGGGTGGGTGCCTGGTTCCATAGCAGGCCCACAGAGTCTCAGCCAGGCCTGGATTCTGCAAGGCCACATTGGGACAGCCCCATGGGAACCATCTAAATAGGGTAATCTGGCAACTCACCTTGCCAGTGTTGAGCTCTGTGTAGGGGTCTGGGAAACCCGTGAACTCCCGGGGGCTACCATAGAGGTTCACATAGCAAGGCCCGAAGGTGGGGAGGAAGCCCAGGTTGTCGTCCACTGGAAGACACAAGTGTAGGGGTCAGAGGTGCTGCCCAGTGGAGCTCTCTAGGGTTTGACCCAGCTACCTTCAATCCTGAGCCCATCCCTGGCCCTCAATTTCTCCCACATGTACTAGATACAGCTCTTGTAAATGTATAAACAATAATGACACTAGTGATGATTGTCATTGTGTTCCTTTAATCCTCACCACTACACTGCTGAGACGTTACTATTTCTATTATTTTATTAGTCTCATTTAACAGATGAGGAAACTGAGGTTCAGAGATGCAAAGGAACACACGACAACAAAGTGGCATGCCCAAATGGTATGACATCAAAGCCCATGCACTCAGCTAGCATGCACACAAGCTAGGGCTCAGGCCTCACCCCCAGCCCCCTGCCCATGCCTTCTGGACCCCACCCAGCCCTGCCTGCACTCTCCAGACTGCCCACCCATCAGCACCCAGGCATGGGGAGGCACAAAGGAGGTCCCAGAGCCTGGTGACCAGAGAAGCCATCTCCCAGGTGTCAGGGAGGGGCTACAACCAGATGTCCCTCCCTTACACTATAACCCCAGGAATATGCTCCCATGTCCTGATGGCCTTGACTCATTCCAGGACACACACAGCCTACTGTGCAAAAAGTGATGCTTTAATGGAGCAGATTGGAGGAACATTATAGAATGAATGATGAGGAAAAATCTTTTCTCTGCATCCTTCCCATCCTTTTTAGAAGCTCTCTTTTGTTAATGTCATTTTCCAGCTCACAGCTACATTTCCCAGGGTGGCACTTAATTGGCCATACTCTGAAAACCCTGCAAAGCCAGGTTGTCTCTTGCAGTGAGTGGGTGGGGGGGACATTTCCAGAATGCCAAAGGTGGGAAGCAAGGTCAGGACCATTTGGGATGGGCCTATCCATACAGTACGGGCCACAGCAAACACACAATAAAGGGCCTCAGCAAAGAAGCACTAGTCCAGACCCACTGTGTGAACTGTGAGTCGCTGCTCGGAGACAATGGGTGAGGGAGACAATGGGGCAGGAGCCTGTCAAGAGTGCCCTGAACTATTTCACATGCCCCCTTTTCCAGACCCAGCACAGATAGGGCTCAGTCTTTGAGAACAAAATGGGGAGGCCTCAGATGATGGAACTCATGTGGACATTACTAATCATTTATGATTAGTAAATTACATTGGTTATAATTTACTTCATGAATTTCCACTTCAAGAGTCTTCCACTCCTCTTGGCTCCCTCCTGGCTCCCCAAGACACTTCACGCTCTCCCCCCCCATCTCCTGTGGTCTCCATCCTGTCCCAACCCCCCTATCAGCATCTCCCCAAGACCAGCAGGCTTAGGAAGGGGGCTGAGAGGGTGGGAAAAAATTACCCCTATGGTCTTCCAAATGACTTAGATATTCAACCAGAAGCTGACAGGAAACTGACAAAGGTAAGCTCAGATATTCAACCAGAAGCTGACAGGAAACTGACAAAGGTAAGCTCAGGGGCTGGGGTGAATCTTGATCCCATCTCATGCAAATCAGGAAATCCCCTGCTTCTGGCACCCTCTCCTAAGGCTCCATCCCTTCCATCCCCTAGGTGACAACATACGGTCTGTGGCTTGTGGAGGCTTGACCACACCTGCAGGCTCCTCTGAAGCATAAAGAAATGGAAAAGGTGTTACAATGGACACGCAGAAGGAGGAATGGTTACATGACCAGGTGCATGGATGGAGAGCTGACAGATGAATGATGGCTCCCGAGCCCAAGGCTCCACCCCTAGTCCAGCTTCAAATTTATCACAAACTAAGGCATCACCACTCCTGCCTCAGTCAGACACAGCCCCCAGCACCAAGGTCACCCAAAATCTGATTCAATGCATTTAAGAAATAACAAAAAATATTCTTTTCTACATTATAGTCAGATAAGTGAGGGAAACAGGCACAGACACAAAGAAAGTTTGAGGGAAATACAAAAGGGCAGGGAGGCACACCCAGTGCTGCAAACCCAACAGGCAGGTTAACACTTGGGACTGAACTGGATGAGCAGTGGCCATTTCAAGGCACAACATCCCCACCTAGTGGCCATTTCTAGTACTGCTAGGGAAGACAACATGTTGCATTTTCACAACTGCAGGCACCCAGATCAGGCTTCTAGCACCTGCTGCATCCAGTGAAACCCAGCAACAAATGCTCTCCACTAGCTGAGGGCTCTGCACACTTGTTGTGCTCTAAATATTGGTAAAGTGCATATAGAAATAAGAGAAGCAAGGAAGCATTCTGGTACTCTCTGGGCTCCTGATACCTACCACTCATTTCTGGGCAGGTACAAGATGCCCCAGCAGTGTGGGCAACCTCAGTCTTCTTTGTCTGCCTCTCTACACTCTTGTTTCTGCCTCTCCTTACACTTTGACCTTTCCTTCATCCTTTTCCAACCAGCAAGGTGCAATGATATCTGAGGTCATGACCAAGCCTGGGGATGGAGTTAGCGAATTTGAAGATTATTTGTATTCATTGCTCACCTTTGCTTATTACTGTCTTCCAAAAAAAATGACAAAAACCTATTGCTATTTTCCCATAGCTCCACCATTATAGTTAGGAGCAAGAGTCAAGAAAATGTTTTGAAAGAAGAATGAGCAGAGAAGAATGTGGGTGGAAGTTTGGAGGTGCTGATGGGCTCAATGAGTAAGGCAAGGCCAGAGACACAGGGAGGATGAGACCCTGGGCCAGCCCCTCCGACCTCTTCAGCCAGACCTCAGCTACGAAGGCTGGCTGGCAGAAGTCGGGGCTACATAGGTTGTAGTCCATGGTCATTTTTATATCCACAAGAATTGGCTTTTACCAGTAAGAGAACCAGGTCCCTGACTATACAGGAGCATTCTGTCTCAGCAAGAGATGACCTACAAGGGTCCAGCTGCAGTCCTGAGGAGAGCAGTGGTTAAGGACCACCGGAAGGAAACAGACTTCACCTTAAGCTCCTTCCAAATGATTACTAACTGGCCCAGACAGAATCACAGGCTAAGGAGGCCAAGGTCATAGTTTCAATCCCCACATACTTCTTGCAAAAGCAAATCTGACTTCCCACCCACAGCCTGACTTTGAATCTTGACTGCGTACTGGTGCCCAGCCATCAGCCGTTTGACCAAAAAGGACTGTGTACTGCTTTTCATTCATTCATTCATTTGTTCAGAAAGCCTAACCAGGCACAGTACTAGGTACTGGGAGTGTGTAATAAGACATGGCCCTGCTGACAACTTAAGCCAGTAATTCCTAACTTGAGGGCAGGCCATAGGTCCCCAGATGCTGTGGCTCGCCCCACATTCTCTTCCCTGTGTCTTCAGACAGCTCATAAAGTCAAGGGCAGGGTGAGCAGAGAAGCCACACAAGACAAAGCCTCTATTTAGTCCTCATCGTCCTTCTGCCAAAACATAGTGTTTAGTGTGCTTTCCCTGAGCCCAGGGATCTGGGAGTGTGGAAGCCCCAAGACACAGATGAATGCTCCCAATTCTGCAGCATGAGTAGTGAAGCTTAGCTCCCGCCCCTGGAGAAACTTAAAGTGACCCCCCCAGAGCCACAAGTTACAGCCCACAGACAATCCCAGGGACCCGTGTGCACCTGGAAGAAGCTGAGGCCATTACCTGAAGTCAGCCCTAACTGCCCTCTTTGCCTCTCCCAAACTCCTCAGCCCATGGGGTTTGGCTGCCTGACATAGCCTGCCTGTGCCAGGCAGGAGGAGAAACCAAAAATGCCAGGAAATCAACATCATCTATGTTCCAAAGGAAAAGACATACTTTGGGTTTCTCAGCCATGGAAAAAACTATAGGATACAAATGCTATTTGTGTAGCTTGATTTTCATTTATATAAACTTATCAAAGATTCCAGGTAGCTTTCACAGGTCTCATCTGCCTGTTACCTTTTGAAAGAACAGTCACTTCTAAGGAGAGCACTCCTTTTTAAAAAACCAAAATCTCCCTTTAATGCGCTGATGCACAGAGGCCAAGGAACACTTCAGTGTGCCCGGGCAAACTTGTGGGCAGAACTGCTTAAGAGGTTAGGTCTTGTCCTCCCTGGAAATAAAAACAAGAGCACAAAAACAAAAACTGCTGGCCATACCAAGGCATGGGGGCAGGGTGGGGAGTGTAGAGAAAGAACGGTTTTTACAGTTCAGTGTGGCTTAGGTTTAGAGAGCAGTGGGGAAGGAAGGTGCTGTGCACATGTGGGCTAGAGCACCATGTGAGGAGAAAAACATAAAGGAGCTGAAAGAACAGTGGGGGAGACTTGTTCTGAGGGGCCTTCGGAACAAGTGGAAGAAGCTCAGCGAGAGCAAGGCAAGTGCTACCCTTCATGGCTAGAGACAAACTTGGGCCTCAGAAAGGGACCCACCTCTGCAGGAAGGATATCAGAGAACCTGAGCTGTCCTAAAGAACAGCCCGTTTGATCAATACATTTAACTCTTATTGGCACATCGTTCAAGCTATTTAAATACATATTCAAAACCCAGTTAGTTGGTTGCAGGAATGTTCTCATTTATTTCCAGAACAATCTGTACGAGGTGGTCCTACCTTTGACTACCTCCCTGAAGCACCCTGGGTTGCCTATGATTTGAGTGCCATCTAGTGGCCATGTTAACACCTTTCTCACATTTCCATTAAAATAGTCACAAAGATGGAAAAAGATGAAGGATGAATGGGGGTGGAAGAGGACCTAAACTCTCCAGCAGGTGGCTGATGACAGACACAAGTGTAGCTTCATGGATCAGCAACTGTCAGAAAATAGAAATGTCACATTGTGCCTCTGCCAGTATTTGTCCCAGGATTCAGAGACAGGAGTAGTACCAGTCAAAACACTGAAAAGCTTCCTTCCATTCCAAGAGTGTGACCTTGGAGGTGGCCAGAACACCCTCTGCGCCGATCTCATGAAGCAATGTCCCTATCTCAAAGCATTCTACCTGTTGCAAGATAGCCCTTTGCAGAATCTGTCTGACCAGTGCCACAAAAGGGCCAGCATCCTGAGCCAGATGGTACCCATGGGCAGGAAAGGAAAGGCTGGGGCAGGAGAAGCCTTGACAGCAGGTCTCCTGGCAGGTTATTTTTTGTGAATTCCACCAATTCAAAGTATCAATGAAGAGGTCAGAACAGCAGATTTTTTAACATCAGTGAGACACTGAGGGTGCCTAAGGAGTTCACTGCATAATTCTCAGTAGGTACTTAAAACTTTCTATAATGAATTTTTTTTAATGTCTCAGAGAATCTAAAAGAAGGGACCACTTTCCTGAGTCTATCAGAACAAAGCCATTAACCTGGCCTGCAGTTGAAGATCTGCAGAGATGGACAAATAGAGATTCCCTCTCTATGGAAAGATACCACACTGAACGGATCTTGCTGAAAAGACTGGCAGGGTGCCACCAGGACAGGGAAACAGCATCCATAAAATTCAGGAGAGTTTTCATCTGAATTTTTCAGGAAATGGTTTGGTATCCTCAATAGCATTCAAGGAGATGTAGCCTTTATAACCAAAGCAAAACTTCTGGGAAAGAAAAGAGAAGATAAAAGGCAATGTAGAAGGAGTGGTAGAGGGGAAAGAAGAATTGACAAGGAATGAACTGTGCAGAATGATGTAGAAAAGAAAATCAGATTAGTGATTCCAAAAGCCAAGAATGATAATAAACATCCCATGTTACTTGAAAGTTTATCATGTATCAGACACTATAAGAACTTTACATTCATAACCTCACTGGAACACTACAAACAACCATTGGAGCTGGGGTCCATAAATCCCCATTTTACGGAGAGGAGACTGAAGCAACTCCTTTGGTTATAAAGTAGAAACAACAGAATTGAACCCAAGTTGGCCGACTCCAGAGCTGGAGGTCTCACCACTACCCCAACCTGTCTTCAGTTGTCCGTGGCACATCGTTAGAATAAAAAAAAAATGCCCCTGCTCAAATTTAAGAATTCATCATGTCAGATAAAATTCAACAAAAAGAGTCCTGAACCTGTATGGATCAAAGTACACTTAGATGCCGCCTTAAGACATTCTGGTCAATGATGGACTGTCTGTCTGTACAAGCGTAGTGCCTTAAAATTATACAGCCTAGTGATGTCGTAGCAGTCTTCATTTGTGCAAGTATACTCTATGATGTTCAAACAAAATCACCTCACAAAACATTTCTCAGAACTTATCCCTGTTGTATCCAGTGTTGTATGACTGGAATTTTCTAAATTACAAAAGAAAAAAAATATAGATAAATTTATAAAAGCAGCATCAAGTTAGGAAAAAAATTATCTACATAGAAATCAAGTCATACTGGTCTCCAAATATATACAAAACAAATTAAAAATAGATTAAATATTTAAATGTGAAAAAATTAAAATATAGTTAAATAAAACCTAGGGATTTGCCAAAGATCTTTTAAACATACATGTTAGGCAGAAACGATGTGTTCATTATTTAAATAAGAAATTTTAAAAAGAAGCATGAGTTTAGCTAGAAAGTTTAAAAAGGAAATAGTAAAATAAATCTAAGTACAGCAATGAGAAGTCCAGTGAATTTAAAAAAAAACTAATTGAGAAAATAAAAGAAAGAAAATTCAAATATAATTGAAATAAGGGAAAGGAAAGCACTACAGGTAGAAAGAATTGTTTGAATTATAAAAGGTTACTCTGCGAAGCACTATGCAAATAAATTTTAAAACCTCAATGTAATGGGTGTTTTCCTAGGAAATATAAATTATCAAAATTGACTAGAGTAAAAGTAACAAACTAAAAATAACAATGATCACAGGAGGAATTGAAAAGTTTTAAAAGAGCTATTACTACACCCACTCAAAAAGGGCACCCAGCCCACATGGTTTTATGGGTGAATTATTTCAAACCCTCAAAAGACTATATTCTTATGTTATATAAATTATTCCAGATGTTTGAGAAAACTTTAAATCTTTCCAATTAATTTTACAGAGCCAGCATAACCCAGACACCAAAACCAAAGAAATAATAAGCAGACATACCAATTGAAGATAATAGAAAATCAAGAAACAGGCCACACTTAGGAATTTAGTAGGTGACAAAGGCAGCATTTCAAATACAGGGAACAGATTATTCAAAATGAAGAGTTGGTAGCACCAAAAAACAAGTTTGAAAAAAAAGTAATGTTAGATCCCTGCCTTGTTCACTAAGGAAAATATTAAATAGATTTGGCTACATAAAAAAGATATCCATAGGTCAAAAACTATTAATATAAAACTGACAAGAATTATTTACCATATACATGACAAGGGAAAGTTAGTGTTCATAGACATATAGAACTTTTACAAGACGATGAGTAAAAGAAACAGACCATCAGAAATACGGGCCATAAAGTACATAAACATATTACATATAAATTTAAAATATTTTAAAATTTATGCTGGTCCATTTGCCAGACACTAATGAATGAAAACTAAGACAACAGTGAGGTACCACTTTCACCCATCAAGTTCACAAAGTTCTTTTCTGATATTATTACTTTAGCATGTATTGACGAGTTTGCTGCAGGCGAAGCCTATGGGAGTCACTGGAGCCTTCTTGAATGGCAGCTTTGGTATAGACAGAAAATGTTAAACTCTGACACAGCAGCTCCACTTATAGACATTTATCCAAAAGGAAACACATAGGCTGGGGGTATTGCTCAGGGGTAGAGCACTTGCCTAGCATGTGCAAGGCCCTAGATTCAATACTCAGCAGCACAAAAAAATTTTAATTTAAAAAAAGGAAACTCATAAATTGCATGAGATTCAGCTACAAAAATGTTCATTGTGAAGTTAGTTATTTATAATGTACAAAATTCAGAAAACACTTAAATATTTAACACTCGCTAAATGGATTATGATACTGTCACACAATGAAATGCTTATTTACTTAAAATCACTACCCTAGAAGAGAATTTAGTCACATGAAAAGACATCTATGTAATATTGCCAAGTGACAAAGAGCAACTTTCAAAACAACTCACTTTTTATGTATATGCATACATATTCACGTACATATTTATATGTATAGACATGCAAATACATACACAGAAAAGTCTCAGAATGTTAATAGTTCTTGTCTGGAGTGGTGGACTTATGGGTAATTTCATGGATAAATTTTATATTCTTCTTTCGGATTGTCTCTTTATTTAAAATATTGCAAAATGACAATGAAGTGCTTGTTAATAGACCAATAAAAGTTATTTCAAAATAGAAACTCCTAGAGTACCCTTGGCCAATGTGGAACCCAGTAGTTGTATGTCTACAACCACCAATGTTATCTGCAAAAGTGAATTCTCTTCCTTGCACCATTCAGTGTTATATCCCACCATCCACGTGTGAAGCATCCTAAATGTCTGCAAACCATCTCTGTTAGTGGTCAGAGACCTTCTCCATGGAAAATGGGTAACAAGAGCGCTATAATCTTCCCTTTTCTGCAAATTTTCAAAAGTAAAGGTGTGAGCTGGGATGTCGCTCAGCGGTAGAATACTTGCCTAGCATGTGTAAGGCCCTGGATTCTATCCCCAGCAGCACACCAAAAAAAAAAAAAAAAAAATCCCAAAACCTAGAGGTGTAAGAAAGATAGAGATGGGACAGAGGAGAGCATGCTGGGCCGGACAGCAGATCACAGGTAGAACATACCTTCTATTTCTCTTCCAGGGGCAGATATTTTCGACATGCCCAGGTAGGTGGTGGCCACAATATCATTGTGAGTAAGACGGTCCCTAGAGCAAGAAGGCAGAGATGGTCTGAACACGGGAAGCTGATGCGACCCACAGCCCACCCAAGAAGGAAATGGCTTCAGTTACATATCATCAGGGGCCCTAGTCTTCATGCTGGGTATGTTGCTGAGGCCTAGGGAAAAAGACACTGGACTGAAAGCTTGCTCAAGACTCCTATAAAAGGAACTAGTCTATCTCACCAGCCATAGGCATCATAACAGCCAACCAACACTGGCACCAACCTGGCTCTCTGTAGGCAGGCTGCAGGTTGACAGAGAGGAGGTCAATGGCAGGCAGGATGGAGAGCGAAAGGCTGCTAGACCCAATTCCCAGACCCAGGGAGAACTGAGATTCTAGGAGTTAACTTAATAACAAGATCAAGGAGATCACGAAGTGACCAGGAAAAAATATGTACATCCAGGCCACTTGGAATCAGCACTGCTAATGCAGGATTCCTTTTTATATGTGACAAAGCACTTCTAACCTTCATTTTTCAGGAGTTTCACATCAGCCTTGAATAATAAGTACTTTTCTTATCACCTCTGATGTACCATTGACCCAGAGACTTGTAGACATTTCTCCAAGGTCAGCTCAGGATGGAGGAGCAGAGCCAGGACTCGTGTCCTGATTCCCAGTCTGATTCTTGTGCCATGGTACACACTGCGGCATGGCACTATCTGAGGTCCATCCTGTTTCCTTAGAGAAAGGATTCTCTGATTCCCAGCCGTCACAGGGGACTGTGGGTGGGAGCCCCAGGGGACTGACGGCTTAACCCATTCCCTGCACAGACCCTCCCTTAACAATAACAAATACTAATAGCTACCGTTGACTCCGCACCTGCACACTCACTTAGTCCCCACGTCAGCTCTATCAGGTGGGTACCACAATTCACCCTAATTTCAGACAAGGATGCTAAGGTCAAGAAGATTAAATAACTTGCAAAGGTGGCTAAGCTACCTTAGAATCCAAGGCTAGACGTGCTGGACACAGAAAACAGGACTTGGATGGCGGCTACTTGCTGCTTCCTGGACAGGCTAAATCTGAGTTTCTTGACCTTGAGTATTTGATCCCCAGAGAACATATGGTGATATCTGGAGACATTTTTGGTGTGAGAAGAGGGTGCTATCCACACCGAGTGGATAGAGGCCAGGGATGCTGCTAACTGGCCTACAATGCACAGGAGAGGCCACAACAAAGCCCAGATTATCCAGCCCAGTGTTCAGGCTGAGAAACCCTGAGCTATGTAAGACCTATCTCCTTCAGGAAGGTTCCCTGGTGCATTTTCAACAACACCCTCATCTTCTCAGTGTTCCTGAGTCTCTCTCCCTGATGTGTGTACTGTGGTCAAAGGCAAGAGTGTGCATCCAGCTCTGCTGTGAAAGAGACACCCGAGCATGGGGTGATCTCATTTTTCTCTTACATCCTAACCTGGTGAGATACCCCAATCTCTGCTAATCTCTTCCTTTCTCTTTCCCAGGAGGTGATTAGCCTTGATTTAAAAGTCTTCCATCAGGACAGGGGCTGTATGCGGCAGAGTGACCCATAGCATGGATCTGTGCCATTGTCCCTAGTAAGTGATGTTAATAAGAACTAGAAAAAGGAATTTCCTTAAGATTATCAACACTGATATCTGACAGTTGATAGCATTTTTAAAACTGCCTTGATGTCTAATCCTAGAAAAGACCAGCACTTAAAAAGGAATGGATTTGCAAATTCTGGCCTTGTCTGAATTCGGAGATGAGGGAAGGTTATGGGGGAAAGAGAGGTTGATTTTATGGAGGTGGAGGGTAGCTTGGGGGATTTCTGGTTGTTTAATGAAAAAGGAATTTTTAAACAATTGAGAGGAAGATTAAGTTACAGAGAAAAGGCCATATGGACTATATCGTATTTCCAGGATTCAGGTAATAACAAAGTTTATCTGTACTTTCTGGGAAGAAAGAACTTTCTGGATAGGAACTTGTAACAGCAGAATGCTTTCTGGCCAAGAGCTGGGTTTTGGGCTTGGGGTTGCTTTTGGAAAATACAGCAAGTCTGAAAATAGACTCACAATAAAAATGCCACTTCAACCCAAACCAGGGATTCAACCACCAGATTCGGTAATGTGTTTGGATTGTACAGTATGCTGACGCCTTTGACACAGCTCAGAGGGAGCCAGGCCAGGCGCGTCCACGGCACATGGGACAACTGCACCCGCACGCGTCCACAGGCACGCACAGGCACGCAGGGCAGCCGGCCCTGGTCAGCACAACACACACACTGCCCCAAAATGCACAGATCGCTCTGGGGATGCAAAGCGTGTCTCTCCTCCAAACCGCTTCCCCGGGGCACATACCCGTGGTCACAGCCCTCAAGGCCTCTCCCTCGGCCCCCACCCCCCTGCTCCCTTCCCTCTAATTCTCACAAGCTGTTTTCTTTAGGCCTGGGGAACTGGCACGCACTTTAATGGCTCTGTGGCCTGGGGTTTTTTCCCTAGTCTCTCATTATCCTCCTGGTTGGGGGTGCTACAGGCCTGGTACCAAAGAAGAACATGCCAGAGGACCATATGGCCAAGACTTTGGGGGCAGAGAAAGGACAGCTCTCCCTTTTTGGAAAGCCTGATGTCCTAGAGGTCACGCATGGGGGCCTCTAGGACACATTCCCCTCAGGTGTGAGAGAGATCACCTGGATGTAACAGGAGGCAAAGCAGCCTGTGGTTAAAGTCACAGGCTTGGGTTCACATCTGGCCTCCGCTACTTTCCAGCTACATCTCAGACAGGTCACTCAATCTTTCCCAACCTACTTTTTCCTCTGTGGAGTAGGACCATGAAATTGAGTCAAGGGTCAGATGGCATCATTCATGGAAAGTACTTGCTGGACACGGGGCCTGGCATATAGTTGGTGCTCAACTAGTATCAGATACTATGATTTTTCTAAGGTGCTCACGGACTGTTGTCCTCACCCGCTCCACACATGCAGTGATGTCCCCTGCTCGGGTACTTCCCAGGCTGAGGACCCTTCTGCCCCATTCTGGAGACCCCAGCTCCTATAAGCAGTGCTCTTTCCATCCAGGCCTTGACATATGATCCTGTCCTCACTGGACTGTCCTCACCAAGAGCTTACCACTCCCGCCCTTCTGCCTGGCTGCTGCCAGTCCCACCTCCCCCAGAAAGCCTTACAGCCCCTCTGATGGATTCCTCCTAGTCCTCCTCATCTGCCATCAGCACAGGGTTCTACTTCCTCGTGAGGGCAGCTGTGAGCAAGCTTTCTCAGAGCTGCCCACCCCCTCAGAGAGACTGCCTCACTAGAAACATCCTTTGTCACCATGCACAGATGGAGCTGCATGAAACTGACAGACCCAGTGACCTCTCAGGACAGCTTCCTTCAAGGACTCAGAACTCACCAGTCTATGACACGAATCCTCATTTTTTCACACATGGAGGGGAACTGAGGAGGGAAAAGGAGGTATGTTGACAGTAGTCCTTTTGAAGAAAGCAACATCTCTCCCCTGAACCAAAGTCCAGGGTGCTGGCAGGATGCCTGGGAGGCAGGGAACCCATACTTCCCCACATCCAGGTCCCAGGGCCTGCTGGACAGGCCTGCAGGTGAGAGGGAGGCAAACCTCACCATGGCAGGCAGAGTGATGCTCTGGGTCCACTGAGGGTTGGCCGTCTTCTCCAGGATCTTGCTGCAGAGCTAAGAGACAGGGAGGATGGGGATGGAGCTCCATGCGGACCCTGGGCTCCCTCGGGGATCACTGCACTGGCCAGCAGTCATTGTCTACTGTGCTGGCTGCCCTTAGGGCTGGGCCTAAGACCTTGAGGTCTTGAGACTTGGTGCAGTAGGCTCAGACACAAAGAGTCTTTCGCAGGGATAAAGATCAGTGAAAGGGCAGATCCAGAGTTTAGGGGCAGGGGCCTGGAAATCACAAATTTTCTATCCTGAACTGATACCTGTAACTGGAATTGCCCTTTCCCCACCTCCCTTTAAGTTATGACCCTAAATATGGGGACTGTGACTCCAGACTGACTTTCCCAGAGATTCCTGTAGCACAGGAGACCCACTGCCTATCAGCCCAGATAACCCGCCAGTTCAGAAGACTGGGAGCCCTGGAAGGTCAGAGATGAGAAAGGGAGCAGGAAAAAGCCCAGGACTGTGCACCTGCATCCAAAAGAGAAACAAACTTCAGTGAAGATACAAATCCTATAACAACCACAGGCTCTCAGACTAGCCCTGTACTAAAAACTAGGCATGTCACAAACAAGGAATCTAGCAGAGGTAGAAATAAATCCAAGCTAGCAGCTCATGTGCCAGTTCTGCCCTTGGAGTCTGTGGGGACACCAGACCCCAGGGCAACCTATACCCACATGCAGGGGCAGTAAGGAAAGACTCACTTCTTTTACATAGATCCTGGTGGGCTTGTGTGTTCGGCATGTAGCAACAGGGAGCAGCCTTTGTCAGAGCATTTGCTATAGGCCCTGCGGCATGCTAAGAACAGCATTTTATTTGCATTATCTCACTGAATGAGCATCTGAGTTAGATCAGGGACTTGAGTCCCCAGGGGAAAGGGCTTTGTCTCCTCCCAGCACCAACTCCTACCCCACTTTCCCCTGTCCTGCCTGCAAAAAGAGCCCAGGCAAAGGCTGCAAAGAGTTGGGGCCAGAGATGGGTGCCAGAATTTGGGCCTTGTATTAGCTGAGTAAGGAGGAAGGAAAGAAGAGAGACCAACAATCCAACAGAACACTGGCTGAAGAACCGAGCAGGTAGTGCACAGGAATGGAGACACCAAGGGTGGAAAAGCACATAAAAAGATGCTCAACCCCACTCATAATAAATGAGCCACAAAAAAACTAGCAAAACACCAGTTCCCATCTGCCAATTTTATGAAAATCCCGACAGTCTGACAACCCACTGTTGGCAAGGCAATGGGAAAACTGTACTTTCATATTTTGCTGGTGGGAAAATGAAATCGTTTTACTCCCCTAGGAGACAATTGTCAACCACCTATTAAGATTACAAATGCTGATTCCTTTGACCTATCAGTTCTATCGCTAGACATTTATCCTACAGAAATACTTAGGTGCAGTATACCTCTGTGTGAGATTATTCACTGCAGCATGGCTTGAACTAGCAAAGATTTCAACAAGCTGGGCAATCCACCAACAGAGAACAGGTTAAATACATTATGGTCCATCCACACAGTGGTGAACTATGCAGCTCTAAAAAGAATGTAGGCTGCTCTGTCTGTGCACAGAGATGAAATAATCTCCAAAGTATATTATGAAGCAGACAAAGCAAGGTGCAGAGCAGCAAGCATAATGGGCAATCACTTGTATTAAGAGTGTAAAATACGAGAATCTGTAGTCCTATTTGCTTGCGTATACATAATTAAACCAGAATGATGTTTACTAGCTGCAAAGAAACTAGCTGCAAAGGTTTCCTTTGCAAAGGAGGAAGTGAGTAGATAGATTGTTGGATGGAGTACAAAGCCAGATGGAAATAAAGATGATAGATGGATGGATGGATGAATGAATGACAGATAGATGATAGATAGAATAAATGTATATAGTAGATGGATGATGTCTAATTCAAAAATGAGATAAAGTTTTAAAACAAAATAAAAGAAAGGACTCTAACTGGGCCCAGCAAGAGGCCCTGTCAACTCTGTGCCTCTTGCACATGAGGCTGCTTTAGCTCTCTCTCAGGGAGTCCAGGGCTTCCTCCACAGCAAACACTTTTACCCAGCTGCCCTTGGGTATCTTGGCCAAATCCTGTATTGTTCCCATCTTCGATAATGGTGCCACCATGTGTTCATATGAGAAAATGCAAAGACGTCCAAGTGGAGATGGGGGACACAGCACAAAACCCTGGAAGTCATCAGACTAGGATATAAAGAGAAAAACAGTGACATGCAAGCCACAGAGAGGGGCAAACAGTAGGAGACCAGGAGGAAGAGCAGTAGAGTGGTAGGAGGCCACAAGGAGATGGCTCAGAGCAGAGAAGAGGCCATAAAACCTGAAGACCACAGTGGCCACTGACCTGGCTGAAGCTGTCAGAAAGGTTTCAGCTGTTCTCTCCCTACCAACTCACTCTCCAATCCCCACCGTCCTTTCGAGAGGGACCATGGGGCTCATTTTCTTGCTTAAGCCCAGCCACCTATCAACTTTTTTTTTTTGTAGTACTGGGGCTTGAACTCAGGGCCTCATGCTTGCTAGACAGGCGATCTACCACTTGGGCCACCCCATCAACCCATCAGCTTTATTGAATCCTTGTATCACCAGGCCCCTCACCAACATCACCTCCCAATATCCATCTGCACCTTGCTAGAAACATCTCCAAGGCCGAGAAGGGCATCGCAGAATCAAAAGCCCAGAGAGATTGCTGCAAAGGACCCAGGAGCAGTGGCAGCCCCAGAGCTCTAAGACACAGTTCCAAGGAAAGCAGGGAACTTAATGCAAGTGAGTCTTGGGTCCCACCTCCTTCAAAGTCCCCTACCATGCTGGAAACATGCAACAAGTCGCTTTCCCAATGTTGACGTGCCTTCCCCCTCTGTCAACTAGAAAAATTCATGCTAGTCCTTGAGCAAAAATCTGTCCAGGAAAACTTCCTAGTTCCTTCCCACCTTCATGCATCCTGTCCCACCTGAGGCCAGGTACAGAGGTCAAACACAGATCCAAGCCTAAACCAAAACTTGCACAGGGTAAGGATCTGCAAGGAGCATTTACACCTCAGTGTCAATGAGCTGAAAATCTTTACCTTGCCCATGGGCATTCTCACTGAGACCCTCTGACTAGGGATGGAGAAGCCAAAAAGGAGGGGCTCCCAATGGCCAGCCATAGGATACTGTGAGCAGGAAGCACAACAATGGCTGATTTCCACATGTGGAATTAATAAAAATTATTGAGATCCATAGGAATAGAAGGGGCTGGGGAAGCAAAGCTATTCTTCACATAAGAGTGCCAGCTGATAAAGAGAGATGGAATGATAGTGAGAAAATCACCACTTTCCAACCCCAAGTAAATGATTTATTCACGCAAGGAGGTCAATGGGTGCTTACAGCATTAGGTTCGAAAGTGCTAAGAAATAGAATGTCCTCACTGAGCCAAGATGTCACCGCAGAGTACATGTCAATTTCAGAGAGGGAATATTTACTTTCACATGAAGATTTAGAGTTACCACTTAACCAAGGGATCAGATGACCACCAATTAATGGGCACCTGACATTACTGCATCTTGTTGTACTGCAATATGACACATGGAACATCATCTGGGATGAGTTTTTGGAAAAATACTCCATCTCAATCTAATCAAGTCTGTGGATCTAACTTCAGTTTACAGGAAATACAGGAGCTAGAGAAATAAGTTAAACAACATCACAGGGAAACAATAGAGAAATCCCAAACTTAGACAAATGGCCTGGACTCTCCAAAAAGTCAATGTCATAAGATGAGAAAAATGGCAGTAAGGGGACAGTTGTGTGGTCCTGGGAAGAGATGGCAGAGGGTATGAGGACACAGGGAAGGGCTTGGCCTTTGAGACATGTTTGAAGTCAAGAGCTAGCTATGTCGTGTCTAGTGTGGAAAGAAGGAAGTATCCAGGCAGGCCCATGTGTTCTGCCTTTGCTGATGGTACCGTGTTAAGATGGAGGCTCCTGGAAATGGAGCAGCAGGAATCAGAGAAAAAGGTTCCCTAAAAAGCTCAGAGGAGCATCAAGCAGAGCAGTTCAGGGGAGGTCTGGGGTTGAAGAGAGGGACCAGAGCTAAAGAGAACTGAGAGTCCTTCACAGAGAGGCGATGGCTGAAGTCTAGGAGTGGCCAAGGCTACCAGAGAGAGCATGTGAGGTGGGCACACAAACCTGAAGCAGCGATAGGGTGAAGGGTGGGGGGATCAGGCTGTATGGAAAGAGAGGCTGGAGTAGAAATCAGCAGGGACAGAAGTGATTGCCATAACCCTGGGCAGGAAGGTAGGCTGCAAGAGGGAGGGAACAAATGAATGATTTGTAGTGTGCCCACCAGAGTGGTCTTTCTCTGCCCACTTCCTGCCACAACTGGTTAAAAATAATCATTATTTTTTGGGAGGCAGTAATGGGGTTTGAACTTAGGGCCACACACTTGCTAGGCAGATCCTATCATTTGAGCCACGTGGCCAGCCCAATCATGTTTTTATCGCACATTTTTTAAGTTTCCCTATCTTTATGCCTTCACGTATGATTTCCATACTTGCACAATTTTCCTCTGAATATTCCTCATGTATCCACTGTCCATCTGTCTTCTTTGAGGTCACCTATTTGTCTGAATACCAGACAAACCTGTCCACATTTGTGCTCATGGCAGCCCCAAAGAGTTGGGCCTAGGTGTGTGACATGCCAGGGTCAGCACCTCCATGTGCACATACCTCTGCTAGGCACTCACACTGTCCTGGGCTCTCTGGCACCTGTTCACAGGACCTGCCATTCCCCTCCCATAGAACCTCTTGATCCCTTGCTCCTTACCATTTTGCCTGCAAAGCTGACCTCTACAAAGGGGTCCACCAAGTTCTTCTTATTACTTTCAAAGCCAAAGATCTGCTTCACATTGTCCATCACAGCATCATCCACTGGGGAGAAAGACATGCCAGTCACTGCCTGCCTGCTGCCCCCCTCCAAACCCCAACTTTTGCCTGTCTGTCTCTAGGCAAGCCTGGGACCACCTGAGAAAGACACTGTGGCCCCTCAAAGGGGACTCAGCTCCTGGGAGACAGGGTTCTATTTCAGAACAGCAGCTCCTGAATGTACCGGGCAGCTTCCTCGCCACTCCAGGCAGCTTTATTCACTGTCCCCTTGCATTGAGGGGCTTCAGAGCATGTCTACCCAGTTACTGGTTGCCCCACTGATTATAAATCCACACATACAAGAGACTAAGTGATCCAGAAAAGGACTGGCTATGGGTGAAATAACACCCCATTATCAGTGCCTGGTGGGCATTTCCTTTATATCTATTGTCACAGTGATTTATCTGAGGTTATTCAATAAAGCCAATCCTCGTTTTGTCTCATTTTATTTTTTAAAAAGAGTTTTTAATCTATGCTGCTTCAAACCAAATTGCTTAACTAAATTGGCCAAATTATTTGCATATGTGTATACACAGATTGATATGTGTATATACACACATATGTATATGTGTTACATGTACATGAATGAGTGAGCAGAGAACAGGTAAAGATTATATGCTATCTAATGTCCTCATGAATATGACAGGTAACAACAATTAGCATTATTCATGCTCTGTTTACTCACTTATTTTGTTATTCTTTATATTTAAACAACATTACAGAGAATTCAGCACAAAACTCCTTCCCTTTAAGAAACACAAGCATTTCTGTTTCCCCATGCCCCCCTGGGAACTCTCCAGCCTTAATTCTACATAGTTTCAAGCAATGAATGCAGATATTTTTGAGGTACCAGTTTGAACACAGGGAATTGCTCTTGCTAGGCAGGTACTCCACCATTTAAGCCACACCCCCAGCCTTTTTTGCTCCCATTTTTTTTAATAGGGTCTTGGGGTTTTGTCAAGATGGCATGGACTGCAATCCTACTATTTATGCCTCCCATGTAGCTGAGATAGCAATCATATACCACTATGCCCAGGTTTATTGATTGAGATGAGGTGTTGTTAAATTTTTGGCCAGGCTGGCCTCAAACCATGATCCTCCAAATCTCTACCTCTCAAGTAGCTGGGGTTACAGGCATGAGCCACCATATGATCATGGAATGCTGTTAAACATGTGTTCTAATAGCCTCTTAATTCCCATTATTTAGGTAAGGGCTTCCCTGTGATTTTGATCCAACTAAGCTTGTATAAAAGGAACTATTTCTGGTCAAACACAGTGACTCATGGCTATAATCACTGCTATGCAGGAGGCAGAGATCAGAGGAATCGAGGTTTGAGTCCAGCCTGGACAAAAATGTAAGCAAGATCATATCTCAAAAAATAAACCAGTTGTGATGGTTCATGCCTATAATTCCAGCTACTCAGAAAGGCGAGGTAGGAGAATCATGGTCTAAGGCCAGCCCCAGGTAAAACTAGGAGATTCTATCTGGAAAATAAACTAAAGCAAAAAGGGCTGGGGGACATGGCTCAAGTGGTAGAGTGCCTGCCTAGCAAATGCAAGGCCCTGAGTTCAAAAACTCCCCAGTGTCACCAAAAAAAAAAAAAGTCACTAGTCAAAGCAAAAACCCTCAAATATCTTTGTGCAAAATTTATAACATTGCAGATGTTCTCACTGACTCTGCTGTGAACAGTGGCTGGCTGGATTATACAAGTGTCACTCTAAAATAGACGCTCCCAACCTAGCTGCACAGCCAAATCCCCTGGGGAGCCTCTAAACACCACCAAGGTATGAGCTCTCCCTCATCCCAAGTCAATCCAAAACGCTGCATGTGGGACCCCACATGTTCCTCCTGTATGCAAGGGCTGCCACCCATGGCTCTAGAATATTCTGTATAACTCCCCCAGCAGTCACTAAACACACAGGGTGAGGCCAGTACCAGGCCAGCCACTGTGATAACCCAGGCAGTGACCATGCTGGCCTTCCTGGGAGGATGAGTAGATTGCCACAAGTTGAGTGACCCGCCATCCCAGTGTGCTGGCACTAGGAATTTCCTGGAACATCAAACTTTCTGTGCTAAAATCAGGATGGTCTCAGGCAAACGGGAGTGGTGGACCTCTTGGTGGAGCCATGTTCTCCATTGGTGGAGACAGTGGTCCCAGGAGTCCTTCATGCAAACCCTCCCAACCTTACAGCAAGTGCTCCCTGCCTGGGCTGCCCACCCAGGCTTCCGCATAGAGCAAAGGAAACTCAAAGAGCACCATCTTGAAAGTAGCCTCCAAGTGGCACTGCCTCCCCACTGAAGACCATGAAACTGGGTCCACAGAGTTGCTAAAGGGGGCACTAGAGTGGAGCCCAGGGGCCTAGAACTCTCTTGTATCTTCCTAACTCCATCAAGGGGTATTACTTTCCATCACATTCTGATTGCAGGGTTGGGAATGTAGCTCTGTGATAGCGTGCATGCTTAGCATTTGGGAGGCGCTGGGTTCAACCCCCAGCATCACCAGGAACAAAAAAATCTGGTTGCTTTGTACTGCTAAAACGGAAAAAGAAAAAAAAATCAAAACCTTGGCAAACCTAACGAGGGCTTGAGGCATACGTCAGACAGGAGAGGAGGAGAGCTGGTGGCACGGGACTCTGACAGACCCTGGGAGAGGAAGCCAGGCCCAGAGGAGGCAGGTAGGGAGTAGAAGGGTGACCCCTGGAGAGAGAGGTGGAGAAAAGGCCCAGGGACCCACAAGCTGGAGGTCTCTCCTTCCCCCGAGTAGCAGAGCATGGTTCAGCCCAGGTCCATCCTCACAATGGCCTCCCAGAAGCCTCTTGCAGGCCTCCCCCACAAGAGGAGGCACCACACTCACTCTGGGGTAAGTCCTCAGCCCTGAAGACCTTCAGGCAGAAGTGGGCTCCTCGAAGGGCCACGCCTGTTGGCCTGAGCAGGTTGCCTTCGATGTCTTCTTTGTCTTCAGAGGGGTCTTTTCTGTCCAGCTACAAAACAAACCAAACATCGTGAGGACTTCATGTGCTCTTCGGCACATTGTTTTATCTCCCAAAGGACTAAGGGATGAAGAGTGAAACGCTTACCCTGGCCTTGGGTATCTAAGTGGGTAATAGTGCCATTTCCTAAGATGTCTCCCTAATACAGGACAGAAAACAGCTGCAAGGAGTAGGCAATCAATGATACTGGGTTTTCCTATGCAAAGTCAGGGAACGTAAAGAACACATTAATGTGGCTTGTTACAAGACTCTAAAACTGAGTAGGTTTTGAGGTACAGAGAGTATCTGAAAGAGAAGAGTTCTTCCGTGGTGAGATCAAGAACACAATGAAAGAACAAGAAGAGGAATTTCACTGACATTGAATTTGAAGGATCAATTTTAAAAGGAGAGAGGAGAATCGGGAATCACCAGTGCTGAGGAAGGAGAAAGTTTCAAATAGACATGGGCTCCAGAATCAAATGCTGTGAAGCACATTTGCAGATTAATAACAGGAGAGCTCCTAGGACTAGCAGTGGGTGACCCTTGAAGCATGTGGCTTCAGGAAGAGGAAGGGGTGGCAGGCATACTGAAAAGGAGAGGGTGGCTGGTAAGGAGGGGGGTAACGAAAACACAGTGGATTCTTTCAAGAGGTGGTGGTGACTAGAAAGAAGGAGAAGGAGGATAGTGGATTGAAGAGGTGATGGGGAGACACATGTCAAGGAACAATATTTTAGGATGGAGAAGTCTTGAGCCTGGTACAGACCAAAAGGTAAGAGAGAAGAGAGAGGAAAGAGATGAGGACTAACACGTGGCTGAACAAGATGGTACAGGGCACAAGCTCATTTGTCCCTTATCTCTTCCCCAAAGAACAGAACAGTACAGGGAGAGGGATGATGGCTGGGAGCAGCAGAATGGAGGGAAAATGAATAAAGATGGGAGGTGAGCTAAGAACCAAGGAAGGTCACAGCACTCACCACTGTGCAGCTCTGCCTCTCAAAGGGCAGCTGAGGCTGGGAAGACAGGGAAGTTTGAAAAACACCACTGTGGAGAATGGGACAAGGAACAAACTATACCTGACTAAAAGGAGAAGCCACAGCACCCAGGGCCCAGCCGAAGATGGGATATAAACACTTGAGTTTGTCAAACAGCACTCTCAGGGAACTTCTGCCACCAAAATGACCAAGGAAAGGCATAGACAGTATGGTAGGGAACATGAGGTGTGGCAGGAGACCCCAGGGCTCATAATGACCATAGATGGAGTTCAAGCTAGGGTGCCAGGTGGCAGGAGATAATTGATGGACTGGGAAAACCAAGAGGAATCAGGGGACCACAATGTCAGTGAGCATAAGCTGTCATTCAGTGAAAGGGACATAGGGAAAGAGGCAGAAAGCAGGTGGGTGAAGAGAGGACTATTTCCCCAGCTCAGGAACTTACAAGAAATGCAGCCAGTTGATGGTTTGTCAGTGAGGATGTGTGACAACTCAGAAAAATTCAAAGATGGGATAAGAAAACTGGGAATCTAAAGCAAGGACCCTCTTGAACTGGCTGTGCTTGTGTCAGGGGGAGGAAACAACCCAGAGGACCAGCAAAGTGAAGCCATCCTGAAAGGATGAGCAGTGCAGCCACTGGGAAAGGCTGTAGGAGCCTGGAAGCTACAGCTTCTCCCATCAGGAGACCAAGAAAATAAGGACTTTCCCTCAGCTGATTTCAACAGAAGTAGCTTCATCGGGGAAAGAAAAGCTTGTGATTAATGGGATGATATTAAGGAATGTTTGGATAAAAACCAATAGATTCAGAGAAATCAGATAGAAGAAACAAGGTGACACATCTGGAGAGATGGATTACAGAGGGACAGAGCTGGACTTTATGGCATGAGACTGCAGGAATGGATGCCCTTGAGAGAAAGGATCGTCCACCTGAGTTCCATCAGCCCCTGCACAGCACTGGATTCTCCCTTCCCAGCCCCTTCCTGTGGCTTCCTGGGGTCCTGTCATCAACCAACATCCTCTTGCCCTTAGCAGCCTCATGGATCTTGACGTCCACTTCAAAGGATGCTTCTTGGATTTCCCTGGACAACTCCACTCCCATCCCTCTTTCTGGAGGTCTACTTCCCCTCCCGCTCCTCTCACTCCCCCTTACCATCCTGGGCCAGGAAGAGAGACCACACATTGCTTGCTTGATCGTGCCACCATCTTTCCTCTCTGCAAGTCCACGCCATCTCTATGTACCACCCCATCACCCCCAGTTTTCATTGCTATTATCCACCAAACCCCAGGACCTGCTTCACAATTTGTCTGTTCAATTTCTAATTCTTCCATAAGATAACAGCACTCCATGTGGACAACCCACTCACCAATACAGTTCATTGTCCTCCACCAAGAACTTAATCTCTTTGCCCCTTTAGCTACTAGAAGCAAAACCATATCACAAATCCCAACCCACTCATAACCAAACCTCTACCAAAACCTTAGTGTCTAAAACGCCCCTCTCTAAAGAGACCCTCTAACCTCTCCACATCCTCCGACCCCCCACTCACACAGAAGCTGGCACTCAGTTGGCATTCAATAATCAAACCCTTTCCTATTCTTGGTTCTCCTCCTCAGCCCTAGTCCTGTACTCCTGCATTCTCCCTGCCCTGCACTAGCAGCCGTGCTCAGGATGCCTTGACCACCTCCCCTCATCCTCCCACCACCGTTCCCAGCTTGCCCACCTCCAACTCTTCCACCGCCACCTGCCTCGCTCTGCTTCCAGCTACTGAGCATTCTGGGGCAATCTAAAGTGGATATTCTGTGTGTGCTTGAAATCCTTTCATTTAAATCTAACTATCCCCTCATTTTCCCCCACAACGACTTTGAACCCTTTCTACACTTCTTATACAAGATGCTGACACCTCCCAACTCCAAACACTTCTCTCATTCTTCCAAACCCCACTATAACCTCACCTACTAACAAATCAAGATGACTGTGACATTTTCTCAGGTAATAGAAGTCAGGTTGCAATATAACATAGAGAGAATGAGCTCACTTTTGCAAAAGGAAAAATACACACGTAAACCCTTCAAGAAAGAAATGTGGTATTAGAAATGGCTCTCTGCAAGTAGCAGAACTATGAGTGACTCATTCTTTATTACACTTTTTCTACATGGTCTACAGTTCTCATAATGACTATGCATTCTTTTAAATCAAAAAAGAAAGTAAGTTTGGGGGTTTTGTTTGGTGCCTCTACCACCAGGTGCTGCATGAGGCACCACAAGGAGGACCCAGGGGAAGGTACTCACGGGAGCTTCGTCTCCAGGCCCCAGCACACACAAGCTTGCTTTCAAGTAGCCTCTGGCCCCAGCAGAGAAATCATCAGAATCCGAGAGCAGCAGCCACTTCCTAAGATAGGCGTGCCCTAAAGGAGACAGCATGCACTGGGGACCCTCAAATGGGAAAACCCAAATCTACAGCCAGGTCCAGGAGCCCAAGATGGATCGCACAGGGTAAGATAAAGGATTCAGCCACTGTGTGAAAGGGGTGGAACCCAAACCCTAGAATCTGTGGGTCTATGAAACCGTGAACTCATAAGACTATGAGGGAAGACTGAAGTTCTTCGTAAGATACCATAGTCACTCAATAGGGATATGTTTTCCTGGGGAATGGAAGACTTCGCCACTCAGAATCATGACATAGTCCATGACTGATGATACTAGAAAGTAAATAAATGTCTCAATATTTTTTGAGTCTAGAATTGAAAGATACTTTGTTTATGCAGGTCCGAGTGAAAAATATAGATAGAAACTTCTACAGGAGGCTGTGAAAGTCAAACCAAAGCCATTTTCTATTTCCTCAGGAAGTGACCAGACCAGAGCAGAACCAGGGTGAGGAGAAATCCTGGACTTATCACCGAAATGACACGTCCCAGTCTCCAGCAGCCTTTCTGGTTGATCATCCCTGAATGAGCCATCTGCGACAGTGAGGGCTTGATCCTCCCTAGGGCTGGCTGCCACACACAAACCCCACCTCTAAGGACCCCAAGGAGGAGAAGTAAGCCCCCCAAGTGAGTGTCCCCAAGCATCCCCCGGAACCAAAATGGTCAAAGGGATGAGAACTCACGGGGCTCTCTGTAAATGGTGCCCACGTCCATCTGAAATCAGAGGAAACACAAATCAAACTCTTGCCACTGAAGTGTTAAACAAAACATAGAGCATTAGACAAGCCCATTGAAAGTCATGGTTTTGAAGAACATTTGGAGATGTAGGGTAATTGTCACTATTTGATACCTCGTGAAAATAAAGTGGAATACATTTTGGTACACAGTTTGGTAAAGTATGATTGTGCAAGGAGAAGAGAGAAGGAAATACAACACAATGGTAATGAAGCTATAGATAGATCTGAGTGATGCTTTTATTCTTTCCTGTATTTTATAATTTTCTATTAAAAAGCATAGGTTATCAGGATATTGGTGGGGGGGACCTGTGGTTCATTGGAGGGGACAGGGAGTACACCCAAACTCTCTGTGCATTCCACTCAATTTCACTGTGCACCTAAAACTGCCCTAGAAAATAAAGTCTATTTTTTTAATCATAGATTATTTTTAGAAGTACAAAAAATAACTTTTAACTTAACCCTTACCTTCTCAGGACACCAATGTAAAGGTTAGAAACTTATAATTAAGATTTTATTTATTACAGAGTGACTTGAGCTCAAACCCATTCCTTTTAAAAATGCTTCCCCAGGACATGGCACTGAGGTTTCTATCTTCTCACTACTTCCCAGAGAAGGAGGGACAGTTTATTTGGAAAGCAGGGGCAGGTTAAAATAAGGCTGCCCTCTTTCTCTCCTTTTTATAAGCCCTTGAAGATTCTAAAATGAGGAGATCAATAAGAATTACATTGAGTGGCATTACAGCACCATTTGGGTCTCCTTTACTTTGTGTAACAGTAGTTGTCTTTATGTAATCTGTTGAATCCTTTTAGGTCTGAACTGTGAGGTTAGTTCTCAGTCCTTGAAAGTAGATTGTCCACTTCTGGACCACCTGTGACAAATAAGCAGGCTGGTGCAGGCTTTCCCCCTCCAGGGGTCCATATCTAAGCCCCACACTACTCCCAACCCACAGCGAAGACGAGGTCAGGACAGAGAGTGCCCAGTGGTGCTAGCACTAGAAAGCCAAGAATTGGGCAGAGGGCTGCCTTCCTAAGTGTAGGGACACATAGGAATTAAAAAGAAAGGACTTACTTCACCCTATTAAAAATAAGGGAAGATTTCACTCCCCTCTCTGTCCCACACTGCCTTTGCCACATTGCTGTGGCTTACACCTGGGCAAAAAGTAAGTGAGACCCCATCTCAACAACAACAACAAAATCCAGACATGGAAGTACACACTTGTCATCCCAACTACACAGGAAGCATAAGTAGGATTGTGGTCCAGGCTGGCCTGGGCAAAAACGCAATACTCTAGCTCCAAAGTAACCAAGTGAAAAAGGGTTGGGGAGTGGTTCAAATGGTAGAGCATCTGCCTAGCAAGTGCAAGACCCGGGGTGCAAACCCCAGTACTGCAAAAAAAAAAAAGAAAAGAAAACTTGTAAATGTGCTTTCTCTTTGAAATGTACCTCTGAGGTCACTAAATAAACCTTTTGTCAGCTTTAAGCCATGGATGGTCTTTCTCAAGGACTTGGACACCACCTTTTGAAGGAAGCTGCTCTCTCCCCACCACCCTCTGCAGGACAAGCCAGGAGCCTAACTGTAGTGAACTGGAAGTTGCGAACTGACCTCCTTGTCATAGAGACCACAGTGAGTCTTGTTTTCCCCTCTGGATAAAGAAAATTAACTAACATGGACGGTCATCAGAGGATCTAGAATACACTCTGGGTGCCAGTGGTGTTGTCCAGTCCTCTTACTTGGGCAAGTTTATTGCTTATCTTGAAAGCAAGTATGTGATCAAAAACACAATTCACTGGCTGAGATTTCCTTCTGCCCTGCATTCTCTAGCAAACTGCATGTTTTGCACTTTACGTTCTGGTGATGCTTAATCATTCATAAAAGTGTTTTTATTTTTCTGCTACTTTTGTAGAAGATCGTATGGGGTTTGTTCAGAGGGAAGAGCTGAAATTATATTTTTAGGTCAGATGCAGTGGTTCACACCTGTACTACTGGCTACACAGGAGGCAGAGGTAGGAAGATCTAAGTCTGAGGCTGGCCCAAACGAAAAGCATGAGACTCTATCTGAGAAATAACTGAAAAAAAGAGGGCTAAGGGTATGACTCAAGTGGCAGAGCACCTGCCTCTACAGAGACACGTAGGATCTCTGGAGTGCCCACCCCTGCACATTGTCCACAGAGCCTCCAGGAACACAGGAAGTTAAGCCACCCTGCACATTGTCCACAGAGCCTCCAGGAACACAGGAAGTTAAGAACTGACTGTTTGCAAGGAAAAGGAACAGTTACCCGGAACTCCCCGATCAGAGCATCTGTCCTGAGGGAACGGGAGTCCACCACCTGCAGGGGAAGATCACTTATCAATGACAGCGTGGCCCAGGCAGTGTCCAGCCCAACAGCTCTACCCTCCCAGATAATGACCACCCTTATCTGGCTCCTAGGCTAGTCCAGAAGCTGTTCTAAGCAACAAATAGTTCATCCTCACAAGCACTCCATAACTAGGTACTGTCATCATCCCCACTTCACAGATGAAACAACAGAGGTACAGAGAGATTAAGGATGTGTTCAGTGTGATGATTAATTTTAACTGTCAACCCGGTTAGACTAAGAAAAACCTAGGAGATTAGTAAAGGACACGCTAGCTATATCTGTGAGGGTATTTCCAGAAAAGATTAGCTATTGAGGGCCCTGACCTAATGAATCAATTCCTCCCTTGGTGGGTTCATACTATAACAGCATTATTGGAGATGGTGAAAAGCAGGAGGTGGTGCCTGGTTGGGGGAAGCAAGACACTGGGAGTGTGCCTCGGGGACTGTATCTTCCTGCTGGTCTCTCCTCTATTCCCTTTCTCTGTTTCCTGGCTGCCATGAGGTGAACAGCTCTACTCTTCACGTCTTCCCCACCAAGATGAAAGAAACCCTCGGAGACAATGAGCCGAAACAAATCTTTCCTCCCTTGAAATGTCCTTTCAGTTTTTGGTCACAGCTACGCAAAAGTAACTAACATATACAGAGTCATACACCCGCAAGAGGCAAAACTGGCATCCAGACAACCCAGCCTCAGCCTATACATTTAACCCCTACACCGCACTACCTTCCCAGCAGGGATGGGATGGAACTGAGGCCCAGAGAAAGAAAACCTTGGCCAAAAGCAGGCACGTGGACAAACAAAATAGGATGAAATCCAATGTGTCCACAGCAATAAAGTGCTTAAGGTCCCTGACCTGAAGCTCTTGGGGACACTGAGCAGTGGGGACTGCTGCCTCCCAGATGAGCTGCTGTGGGTATTTCTGTGATCAGCAGAGCTTGAATGTGAATTATTCACTTTTCCAGGTGCCAGGCTTTAACACATCTCTCTGTCTCACCCACATACATATGCACACCGACATGCACACGTATACACAGAGACACAATGGCACACACAAATGTACACCGGCATATGTGTCCATCCACGGAACACATGGAGAACACTATGATCATTGAGACATACCGTGATAAAGATGGGCTCATCAAATAGCTCCGCGGGCGACTCAAACATGTTGAAGAAAAGAGTCTGTTGGTCCAGGAAGAAAGGGAGACAAATTAGTGTCTCTGATCCCTCAGGCCAAGCAGAGGGCTGACCACCACCCACAAGCCTTTAAGCCTGGGTTGAGTCCATACAGAAAATGAGGACTGGGCTCTCTCATTGCTGAGCTCTGGGGATTTGACAAGTTCTGGGGTGTTCCACCCATGACCCCCCAGAGGTAATCATCTCAAGACAGCTTTGTAAGATGACAGGGATGCAGAGCCGTGAGTGGGAATAAGAGTCGAAGTCCTGCTCAAGTCCTGACACACCTTCTGACCCAAACACTGTTGAATACATTGCCAGGGTTCTGGGCTCTGGGCTCCCAGTTTGGAAGTCCTACCAAAGGTTCTGGCCCTCATGCCCAGTGTCTCCCACCTCATTGAAGACAGGACTGTTTCCCTTGTGAATCCGAGTCCTCTTGGTCTGCCCAGCAGCCGTGACCTTCACCACAGGCCTGATGTTCACCCCGGGCAGCTGGCGCCCCTCAATCACCTGGACTCTGATCTGAAAGCCAGGAGGGGGCATAAGCAGGAGGGAAGGGAAAGGGCTAGGCAGACACGAAGAAGGAGGGTTCCCCACACCGCCCAGTAGTCAGAAATCCCAGGGAGCACCTCACTGCTGGCTTCTAGGGAAGACTATTAAAAAGTTACTAGGAAGAGCTCTCTATCAACAATCATATTTTCCCACCATGATCCCTTGTATCTATAAAATTCCATAGGGCCACAGAAAAGCTGCCATAAGCTACTTGCATTCAGTCCCAGAGATGAGTAATCCAGTCCCTGGTTCATTTCACTCAACACAATCCCCATCTGAGACCCTACTGACACTGACATTGTAGAGTGGCTTGAACATTCTTTATTGGCAACTCTCTCAGAGGTCAAACTTACACACTGAAGTGACCTGGTAAATAATCTTTATTTTCTCTTTGTAGTGCTGGGGATCCAGCCCAGGGCCTCCCATGCACCACACCTGCCCGGCAAGTGCTCTACCACCGAGCTACATCCCCAGCCTTTACTCTTTATATTATTAGACAAAATCCTTTCTCATATCCTGAGAAATAAATTAAGAAGTTTTTCCACTGAACTCTAAGTAAATGAAGAGTTCAAGAACATTTGCATTCCAAATATTAGGTCAAATATTTTAAAAAACTGAAATTTAAAAATATTGAAATAATTTTCATGGAAAAATGTTTATTGGCTCCATTTCTAATCAACTGTTATTTATTAGCCAACTCTTTTTTTAAAAAGGTAGAATGCTATGGAAGGAAGGTAGGTGAGTGATTTTTATTCTCCTTATTAAATTTGTCCAAATTTTCTGCAATAAACATATATTACTTTTTTACAGAGAAAAAAAGGCAATAAGAACATGTCCTGGAAATAATATTATCAGAGATAGATATTTGTCTCTTGGGGTAAATGCAGTGGTTATATCCAGGGTTTTTCTTTATATTACCATGATTTAGAATTAAAATATAGTTTTATGATTTGTTACACTTAGTAAATACTTAAGTTTCCTTATTTTAACTTTCAAAGTGTTCTGAAGAGTTAAATATCACCAAATGTCACTATATTAAAATGGAAAAGTGTATACAAAAAAATAAGCGAAGGGCAAAAATTAAAAGGCAGTAAAATGAGATGGATTTTTTTGATTAAAAATGTGTGAAAGAATTAATATTTTAATAGTTATTATTCTGTACATCTGAATAAATTCAGATTCCACACAACTTTCAGAAAAACCCCTGGTCATAAGCAGGGAATAGATACAGGGAGAAGCAAGATGCTGGTCAGAGCTCCTCAGATTTAGGCAACTATCAGATACAGACCCTGATTCAGCAGGCCTGGGGTGGAACAGAGTTGCATTTCTAGGTGGTACCTGATGATGCTACTGCGGAATACAGACCACACTATGAATAGCAAGGAGATAGCTAGGAACATAGACATGGCTAGCAAAGCAGAAAAGAGTTGCAGAGATGTGTTGAGTCTGCAGGGACTCTTAACAACTTTTATTTATTTATTTATTCATAAAAGCAAAACCTTGGGGCTGGGCAAAGACTTCTTCTGAGGGTCCAAGACATGAGGTCCCTATTCATCAGCTGCCCAGGGCCCAAGGAAAGCAGAGCTTCCTGCTAGGAGGGCCTCAGGATCCCCACACATCTTCCCTGAAGCTGGGCAGACCAGCCTTGCAATTGCTGATGGGCTAAAGGAGGAGACTGGGGTCTGAGTGAGCCCACCCATCACCTGGAAGTCCTGTGGCTTGTCTGACAGCAGCTTTCTGGACGTGGGTACACTTCTCTTTCTCTTGCTTCCACGATGGTAAGGGGGAGGGTAGGAAGGTGGTTTCTTGGGGGTGGTGGGCGCCCCTGGGCCTGGAGCGCCACTCTGATCCAGGAATGGCTCTGCCTCATCTCCTGTGAGCCCCTGGTCCTCAGTGTCTTCCTCTCCTCCTGTGTCTGGGAGGACAGGACCTTCATGAGTACCAGGTCCTGATACAAGAGGTAGGACCCAAAAAGCATGGATGCTATGACCCATCCTCTCACTTCCCTGCCCCCTCTCTTCCCCATGGTGAGCCAGGATGGATGAGGTAGGAAAAACAACAGCAGCTGGCACTTGGCAGTCAGTCTAGTTAGTCAGCAAGAAGACAGAATGGCCCTAAGCCCTCCCAGCCCTACAGGATGAGTCTTTCTGGCCACCTCATCTCACTCCAAGGAGCTGACATGGTGACAGGTGAGAAAGTTACAGATAGGGTCTGGGAGTGAGTCAGTCCTGGCTGTGTCTCACCCGTAGGGGCTGGCCACTTCTTTGAAGAGTATCTCGTGTCCACGGTGCTGTCACTGAGCAGGGACCAAGTCTCGGCCCGGCTCTGTCCCCCACCTGGCATGTGGGCAGAGTACAACCCCAGGAGGAGGGTAGGAGGGAGTTGGAGTGAGGGAAGCCCAAACTCCACCACCACCCCAGCTTTCCCTGTCCACCCTGCTAGTGCAAAATTCAGAAACAACTGAGGGGAGGGAATGCTTCTCACCACCTTCCAGGCAGGACTGGGGGCTTCCCCTGATTGGCCCACACCTAGTTCTGCCAGACCCACCTCAGTGTGGGGTCCTAGAGTATTTGGGGGCCTCTACCCTCCCACTTGCTGCCACCAGAAACAGGCCTTCTTCCTCCTCTGAGCATAGTCCTGCTCTAGCTCAGCTTGGGACTTGCCAGGTGGCCCCAGAATCACCTCCCATCTCTAAGTGTGGACTGTGATGGGCCTCAATGCAATGGTCCTCTCTGCCTCCCTCCTCACTTAGCTCCCAGGGGATGGGCTCCTGAGACAGGCTTAGGGTACACTCAGGGAAGGGGCTCAGGTTTCATGTTGTGTTGCTTCTAGACCTGTCACTATGGGAACAACTCTAGAATCTTCCCCATGGGCAAATGCTCACTGGCCCATCTGTGTAGCTTCCTCCCCCACACTGAAGCTCTGCCAGCTTCCTCGCCCAGGCCACCACTGGCAAGTCAGCCACCCTGACTGGAGTCCTCACTTGACAAGTCCAGCAGAAGCAAGTGGAAAGATCTAAGGCAGACAGACCCAGAGCTCAGCTAATTCGGTATGCTCATTTCACAAACAATAAATTGCAAGCCCAGGGAGAGAGAGTGACCAGCCTGAAGTCACACAGCTACTCAGTGTCAATAGCAAGACTGACATTCATGTCCCCTTCCTTTAGCCCAGGGCTCTTTCAAGGAAAAACCAGCTCTTTTGTCATATGCCAATCATTAAAGGCCTTCTGGGCCCTAGGGCAAGGAAGTGCATGGGAGCCTTAGGTATCTTCTGGGATAGACACTAAGCCATCACACACATCTCAGAGTTGTGCTGCAGGGGTGCAGACCCTCCCCAGTCAGCTTGGCTTGGGAAAGTGTCCTCACACTACTGCCCATGACACCTGAGGGAGCATGCCTCCCACCCGTTATTTCCACATTGCAGAAGACAGTTCTCAGAACTCCCCACACCCCCACCCAAATCCTCTCCTCATTCCACCTGGGCAGTCCCCAAGCTGGAGACAGCAGTGAAGGCTGGGAGGACTCACAGTAGCCCCTAACCCCAGTCTCCAATGCTGGCCTTCTTGCTGAGGCCCTGCCATGCCAGGGGTGGGCTCCTCACCAGCCATCAAATCCATGTCAGGCAGTGTTGGAGAAGGCTCCAGAGGGACAGAAGGTGGGAACAGGGGCACAGCTCCAGGGAGTGGTGTGTAGGACACCTGCAGGACCAGCGAGGCCTGGAAGAGAAGGACGGGCAGTAGGTTAGCATGCTGGCCCAACTGCTGCCTCCAGCATCATTCTGTTTCTTGCATCCTTCTCCAGAGAATATGGCTTTGACAAGAGTCAGGATTGCAGGAGGCTGTGGCAAACCACCCCCAGGAACCCATGAGCATATTCAGGTAGATATGGGCACAGAATCTAGGGTCAGGTTCCTCCATTCAGGAGCTATGTGTCCTTGGGCAAGATGTATATAACCTCCCTGTGCGTCAGTTTCCTCATCTGCATAAAGGGAGTGGTAATAGCAATAGCACTTTCTTCATAGGATCAAATGAGGATTAAACTGCAGTCAGGGATCCAGTCTCTCCCGTGGGATGTTCCAAATTTCAGGAATAAGTCTCCGTAGCCACTCTGCTCACTTGAGGACCCTCCTCCCTCCCTGTACTTCCCCAGAGACAGCTTTTCTTTGTTCTACTCAGGCCACACATAGGTAGCACTGAGAGGGTCGGGTTGCCTCTCACCTTGCTGACCCTCTTCCATCCTAAAAGCCCCCTTCCCCACCACATCATCTGCTGAGAGGACAGTCACTGGTCACACCACTCATGTAAACAAGGGAAGGCTGCTGGGCCCCCACCTTAACCTTCACCCTGAGACCTGAACTGTTCACAGTAGTCCCTGAACGCAAGGAAAAGGTGGAAGCTGTGGGTGTGAGCCTCCCACCTCACAGTCCCCAGCCAGCAGAGACCTGGCTGAGCCTCTCAACTGTGCCACAGGACCCACAGCCCTTTTTAATTCAAGTAGTAAATACTCTAGCAAGGTTTGCTTAAAGAACATTATAGGCATGTATGGGAATGTCATAATTAAACCCCTTCCTTTATGCAATTAATACATGCTAATAAAAATTTTTAAAGTTTTCAAAGTATTAAAACCTTAAAGAAGAAAAATAATACAAAAAATTGCCCAAATTCCTCTATTCTTTACATTTTGGTATCATTCTCTCCAATCTTTTTAAACAAACAGTGTGCAGCTCACCTGCATATAAAGTGCTCTTTTCTACTTAGTATTAGACAATAAGCATTCTCCCAGGTTTGGGAAAATATTTTACAAATGTTTAATAATAAATGATCTTCCTTTTGTGACTGTAGCCTAAAACACGGACATCCCTGTTGAGTAATAGTGAGGACATTCACAGACTCCCAGGGCGAAACTTCTCCTGCTACTTTTCCAGATCTCAGGCTTGAACCCTCCAGACTGGGGCCTGGGGAGAGGAAGCCCAGCTAGTGGAGGGCAGGATGGGTGGCAAAGAGGGCTCAGAAAGCTCAGACTACCCAGGAAGAAGACCAGAGGCAAATGAGATCCTGTAAGTCCCTCATCCAAGGCATGGCCATAACCAGCCCTGCAGATATGAGAAGTACCACCAGGTGTCGCCACTTGAGCAGCCAGCGCCAGCAACCCCCGGGAAGGGAACTTGAACAGCCTCACTGCCTCCTGTCAGATGCCTGTCCAGCTCCTGGGCCACTTCAGTGGGCCTGGGGTGTACCTGGACATCTGTATTTTTAGCAACTGCCCTGGGGCTTTTCTCTACTTCAACAAAAGGCAAGCTGGGCTCTTCAGAGAAATAGCTAATTGGTACAAGATGAGCCTGGACCACCTTTTTGTGACAGACAGCAAACAAATGCTTAATGAATGATAGAAACATGTAAAAGGACAAGAAACCAGCCCTCAGGGGTTCCACTGGCTATCTATGGGACAATTTAAATATGAAAATCAATTAACAATGGTAACAGACTAAAACAAAATAGAAATACATTAATTCAAAATAAACGGGGAAAGAGAAAGCTTTTTCAGCTAAAAGCATTGCCAACTAAATGTCAACAAAAAATAATTAATGTTCAATATCACCACTTAGTCAACATGAAAATAATAATTAATTCAACCAACAAACAGCAATGGATGTTAAAACTCATCAGTAAAGGCTGAATGAGGGAAAGGATATTTGTAAAGACACAAAGTACTTTACCACAAAATTCTTAAGAAAGTGGGATGAGCTGAGTGTGGTGGTATACACACTTAATCCCAGCAGTCAAGGCTGAGCCAGGAGGATTGTGAGTTTAAGGCCAGCCTGGGCTACATAGAAAGCCCCTGTCCTAAATAAATAAGTAAATAAATAAATAGTGGATGAACAATTAATGGAGAAATCCAGCAAATGCTATCTTAATCAAATGATCAAGTGCAGAAGGAAAAGAAATGGAAATCATTTGACAGGGTATAATGTGAGCAACACTGCATCACCTGTCACATTCATACCAAAGATGCACAACCTAAACCTAATCCCAAGGAAACATCGAGCAAACCCAAACCAAGAATGATCTATAAAACTGCTGGTCCACATTGGTGAAAGTGTCAACTTAAAATAAAACAATGAGGAATTGTCCCAGATGGAAAGACACTAAAGAAACAGAGCAACTAAACTCAGCAAATGATCCTTAATTGGATTGTTTTGCTGTAAATGACACTGTCAAAGAAACATGATGACTGAGGTCTGCAGATTAGATGAAGTACCATGTCAACATTGCTTTCCTCATTTTGAAGGTCTTGCTGCACTTATATGGGAGAAAGCCTTAATCAGGACACGGGGCCAGGAGGTTGGCTACTTAGTACTATTCTTGGCAACTTTTTGTAGTCTGAAGTTATTTCAAAATAAAAGGCTAAAAAGATCTGAGAACTCTGTTTCTACCATTACCACAGGAGTCTCACTCAGCAGAAACAAAGTCCCTTACCCCCTTGTGTGGACTCCCTGTCCAAGGGCAGCCTGAGTCAGAACCAGGCCCAGTGTAAAATGAAAATATGAAGTCCCTTATTTAAAAATTAAGAATTTCAATGGTTCAAGAAACCCTATTTCAAAAATACTCAACACAAAAAATGGCTGGTGGATGGCTGAAGTGGTAGAGCACCTACCTAGCAAGTACGAGGCCCTGAGTTCAAACCCCAGTACCACCAAAAAAAAATTAAGAATTTCAATATGGTAACTGAGTGGCATGGCACACACCTGTAATCCCAACTTCATAGGAGGCAGAGGCAGGAGGATCACGAGTTTGAGACCAGACCAGGCAAAGTCATTAAATCCTATCTCAAAAACAAATACAAACCAAAGAGCTGGGCAGCTCAAGTGGTAGAGCACTTGAGCAAGACTCTGGATTCACTCCTCAGTACCACAAAAAAGAAAAATTCAAGATGGTAATGGTAGAGAATTAAACCAAGACCAGGGACGTTCTGAACATGGGGTCCTATGTGACTGACCAGGAGGCCAGTCCTGGATGGAGGATTTGCTTGGCTCAGCTCAGCTTGGGGCCACATCTAAAGAACAGGGAACAGAACCCTGTCCCCCTAGTGTCAGGCCTAACCCTTCCTTCACTAACTCATTCATTCCTTTCTAAAATATATATATCAGGCACCTACGGGGGCCAAACACTGCTCAGAATGGTGGGAATATTCACAAGAACAAAACAAAAGTTACTGCGCATGGAGTTGATGTCTCAGCAGATGAGACAGACAGTAAATAATAAACATACAAATTATAGAATACGTTAGAAAGAAAAGAAAAGGTAAATCAGGGCAAGAAGGGTCAGGGGAGCAGGCTGTAGTGTGAAATCACTGAGTAGACCCCAGTGAGGTGATGGAAGTCAACCCACAGCTTGACTGCCCTTGGGACCCTAACCCTGGCACCAGATCCCCCTGACAAGCACTCCGCTCACCCTGCCCATCCACTCCTGCCATGCCTCCGAGAGCTTTGGTACAGCATGTATGTAGAGTGTTACTGCTCCCCTATGCCCTAGGCCAGCCCCGCAGGAAGAGGCAGCAGCTCTAAAACCTGAAGACTGTCTAGCAGCCCCTCCTGGAGTTTCCTGGGCATCCAGTACTCCCACACTGGCAACCCCACACCAATCCTATGTCCAGGTGTTCTTAGCAACATTCAGGTGGCTCCAAACACTTGAATGAGACTTCCAACCTAGGGCCAGGTCCATTTTTCATACAGGCCATCAAGGACCCAAAGGAACATCCCTGGCAGCTTCAGAGACTCTAGAACAGATCTCACCACCAGGGGGCAGCATACAGGGACAAGTTTTAGGAACAGAGTTGGCTAATTCAGAGGCCTCTAGATCAACTGAGGATGTAAAGGGGAAGGGGACATGTCTGTGAACCTTACCCAGGGTCAAGACCCTCTCTCACCTTGACAATATCAAATCTCCTGTCCCTTCTCCAGATAATCAAAATTGAGACTTTCCTCACATGGGATATGAGCCCTATGCTCTCCCAAATCACATGACCTTGGCCTAGGGTCCCTAGTGGGACTCTCTTCAAGGCCCTCCTCATCAAGGCACCCCACCTGACAGCCCAGCTACTTGGATCTCCAAGCTCAGGCAACATTGTGGGATTTTCTTACCATGAATTGATTACCAGTCAGTCACATGTCTACTAAAACACACTGTGCTGGAGTGGAGTAACCTCAGTCACCCGAGTCTTGGGGTTCACAGCCAATATCATAAGCAGAACTCTGAATGGCCCCCAGGCTAGAAGGGTTTGGAAAACCAAAGGCAGAGAGAAAGAGATCCACCTTGCCAGCTGCTCCCAGTCCCCTGGCCTCCTACAGGTTACTCAGCTAGGCTCAGGCTACAGGTTACCCCCATGCTCAGCCCCACTGCTTGCCTCCTACCTCCTGGGCCACAGCTTTCTAACACTGAGCTCAGCAAGACCAAACCCAATCCAGCCCAGTCCCACCTTCCCCAACACTCCTCAAGAAGTGCACAGGTAGGGCTAGTACATGCCTAGGTCCCCTTAGATACCTCCAGACACTGATGGAAGGTAAGATGGCACCCTACAGGACACAGCACTGATTAGCAGAACCTTTAGATCACGTGAAGAAAGCACAGGGATTCACCACACAGGACCCATGGTCCCTACCCCCAGTTTGCAGTGTCACCTAGCTACCCAACTCTCTGTACCACTGGCTTCCTTGTGTTCTTGACATGCAAAGGGTTTTCCTTTCTGGTCTGACTCTGGCTTTTAAGGCTGAGGTGATATCACAGTGCTTCGTCACTTGATTGGTGAGCACTCTTAACATGTGTTGTGTGTGCCTGGAGCTTCCTCCATCAGTCTGGAAGACGTCTAGATAGCTTCACCTCTTCCTGCTGCATATAGCCTAGCATGCCACATCTGAAAGACCTGGGAGACAATACTGAACAACAGCACACGTTACCTGCAGCAGGGCCTCCAGCTTCTCCCTGCCCCTTCTCCTCTCAGTTCTTCCAGGGTTTTCTAAGGCTTTTACAGATCCTATTTTCACTTCTTTGGCAGATTCCTTTGGTCCTTAGAGGCAATTTGAGCTACGTCAAAGTGGAGGTATCTATCATGCTATTCTCTACAGACCCAGCCCAGACATCAGGCCACACAAGTACTTAGAATCCTCAGCTTTTCCTGGCCCTCTGTTCCTTGCATGCCCAGCCCAGTTCTAGGTACCTCCCACTGAAGCACAACAGCGTAGGTCCTGAGCAGGTAGCACCACCTCAGAGGATCTTACCACCTGCTGGGGCTAAACTGTAACTTCGATGCTTTCACAGGGACTACAGTCTGGTCCTGGACCACTCCACGACCTAGCAGCAAAGCAGGCAGCCCTGCCTCTCCTTGCCTCCCCCAGCTCACTCAGCAGGACCTGACCCTTCCTCCCATTCACCACCTCCTAGCTCTCATCCAACCATCTTGGAATTATGGTTGGTGAAAGATTGTCAAGTACTACAGTTAGCCAGGGGTTCCAGCCCAGGGAGAAAAGGCAGTAGGCTCCTAGCTAGTAAGCAAAGGCCCAGAGAGAGCTTGGGAATGGGAGCAAGAGGAGAAGAGGTGTATAGTGGAGGCCAGCCTGGCACAGTCCCATGAGCAGTGATCAGGTGTGGAAGGCTCCGATCTGGGGGCTGGATGAGACTTCCAACTTGAAGGTACAGGAAACACCAGTGTCACAGATGCACAGGGGACTAAGATAGAGAGACATTGATGTGTCAGAAGTGAGAAACCCTGGTTGGAGGCTTTGGAACCTCATACCTGTGGCTAACTAGGACCTTTCTCAGGACCCCTGAAGGGGCAGTTCCAGAAGCCCCTGGGGTCCACCTAGACTGCAGTGTCAGGAGACTGGAGGGTTCAAAGAAAGGATGAGACGGTATGCAGGAGGTTATGGAGACAGTCTCAGAGACCACTGTATTGAACCAGAATGTCCTACCAGTGAGCACTGGTTGAGGCAGGAAGGGATTCCACTGGGAAGTCCACTTCCATTAAGGAAGCAATGGGCTATCACTGGCCTAAGATATCTTTGGAGCAAATTCCAGCATCCAGAGGGCAGCAGACCAGTAGTGCAGTGATCCAGGAGCACATCTGAGCCCCTTCCACCCTGAAAGTTTAAAGATGAACCCCTGAGTAGTGGTGTTGGTCACTGTGACCACAGCTGCTCTCTTCCCTAGATCTAAATGCCCAGTGTCCCATCTAATCCGGCCCTGACTGATCCCTTCCTGACTCTGCCAGAAGCCAAGGGCACACAGACACACACAGACACACACACACACACACACACACACACACACACACACACACACACACATATTATCCTGTCTGAGAGAACTCAGGACCCAGAACCCCCAGGCCTCACTGGGAGGAAGTGTTTCCAGATCAAGAGCCCTCTGTGCATCCTGGGAGGTGTGGCAAACTCAGAAGGAAGGTCAGGAATTCTAGTGACCAGGAAGAAAGAGCCTTGTAGGATATATTTAGCTCACTAAAAATAACAGGAGGCCAGAGATGAGGGCCAGGAATTGGCTGCTTGGACTAGGGGAGTCCAGTCCTGGTAAGGCTGGGGAGGGGTGAAAAGGACAATGGAGGAAAAGGAAGGGGGTCTGACAGGTCCTAGTGGTTAGGGGAAGGCTATCTGTCTCTCTCCCCTTGTGATCTGTGACCCAAATGACTCAGATGTTCCTAATCTGGAGAATGGGGCTGGGCCCTGGGGAACGGATGTCTGCCAGGCAGACTGGGAGAGCCATAGCCAAGGCCAGTGGGAAAATTTGGGGCAGGAAGTGGCCAGGTGAGCAAGACAAGACCCAGAGGCAGCCAAGCTTGTGTGAAGCAAGACTGACTTCTGGTGGACCAGGGCTCCCTCCCCTCCCAGCCAGGTTTCCCTCCTGGCACCTAGAACTCAGGACCAGGCTTAAATCCTAGGAGCTGGACCCTGACATATCTCAGGGGTCAGAAAGTCAAGGCCCAGGGAGGAAGTTACCAGACAATGCTTCAATAGGAAACTGGAGTGAGCAGAGGCCAATGGACACTTACCCCAGTGGGATGCTGCTTGGTGTCCAACAGCGGGGCATTGAAGCTGGCAGACAGACTAGGGGTGGCGAGGACCTCCCGGAGTGGGACCTTGGCTTCCCCCAGGAACCTGAGAGGACAGAGAAATCCAATGTAGAAAAACAGCCCAATGTACCCTTGCTCTTTTCTCACCAAACCCCTCACCACACCACCACACAAACAGAGCTGATCTGCGTAGGCTGCCAGCCATCTGGGACCCTTCTAGAAACACCTGGGCATACCAGAGGGAAGGAGGTACCTGCCCTTCCCCATGGTCAACTTTGACCTCTTCCTGCTCTACCCCAGAGGCCTAGTCATGCCTCTGCTGCCAAATATAAGAGCTTCTTTCCCAGACCTTGACAGTGTACCATGTCAACGCCCCTGAAGGCAGGGCAGTTGCCCCACCATCACACATCCACTGCTCCCATGACCCATGTCTACACAGGCAATCTACGCTGGTTTCCCAGAACTTGGCAACAGTGATTACAAATCAAACACAAAGGAACACTCCTATCTTCAGGCACAGGGAAAACAGGACACTATGGCTGGGAAAACAAGCTCTTCCTAAGCTCCAAGTCTCACTGAGCACAAGGGCCCCACACACAGATGGTTATGCTCTTGAGAAAGAATGGATGACCAACAAGATGACCAGGGCCCTTGTAAGAGTTCTGAGGAGTAGGTTGTGTTTCCTGAGCTGTGAAAAAGGTGTAGCATGTACTCTGTGCCTCTGTGGTGATGGCAGGAGACCAGTGGCTTGTGTCAACTAAAACCTGTCACCTAGTGTCAGCATCGGGCTGTTTGTCTTCCTGGGAATCGAACCCATCCTGCACAGCATTGTTGGAGCAGAAAGCTTCATCTGTCCTATGAACAGCCACAGGTACACGCTCGTCATTTACTGATTCTTTTTTTCCCCAATGAATAAAGCAAACCTGATATCTGGGACCATCCTTTCCCTGGTCTTTGTAACAACTGATTTGAATGTCTGTTTTTATGGCCCTATGAAATCAAACTGCAATCTTGACCTAATTAGCTGATTTGCAAAAGTGGTAACACAGTGAGATGCCACTTCACATCCATTAGGATGGCTAGTATAAAGAGAGAGAGGGAGGAAGAGAGACAGAGAAAATAATAGGTATTGGCCAGGATATGGAGAAACTGGAACCTTTGTGTGTTGCTGGTGGGAATCAGAAAGGCACAGCTGGGTGGAAAACTGCAAAACTTCCAAAAAAAAAAGTTAAATATAGATTCCCAATATAATCTAACTATCCTGCCTCTGGATATATATCTGTACCCATAAGAATTGAAATCAGGGACTCAAACAGGTACCTGCTCCCATGTCCATAGCAGCAGCAAATGGTGGGAGCAACTCAAGTTGGATGAATAGATGAATAAACAACATATAATATGTACATACAATGGCATACTATTCAGTCTCAAGAAGAAAGGAAATTCTGACACACACTATGACAGGGATTAACCTTGGAGAAATTATGCTAAGAGAAATGAGCCAGACACAAAAGGACAAATACTAGAGGAGTCCACTTATGTGAGATACCTAGAATATTAAAATTCACAGGCACAGAGAATAGAAAGCAGAAAATAGAATGGTGGTTTCCAGGAGCTAGGGGAAGGGGCAGTGGAAAGTTATTATTTACTGAGTGCAGGCTTTCAGTTCGGGAGAGGAAACATGATACTAATGCTGAACTGTACATTTAAAAATGGTAAAAATGGTATATTTTGTTATGTATATTTTAACACACACATATACACACAACTGCATGCTTCTGTAAGCATCCTGACAATAAAATCCATCTCTCTTGGAGCAGGCAGACTCCCAATAACCTTGCAGTTTCCCTTCCTAGAAAGATGAGAAATGTGGCATGTATTCAAGGTCAATTTCTATTACATTTCTTTAAAGAAAGAGCTAAAGGGAGAAGTGTTCACTATGCTCATGCCAGGGTTCTGAGGCCATCCACAATGCGAGGGGTCATTTTTTCTAGAATGTGACTGCTTTGTGGTATATTCCCTGGCAACTTGGAGTAGAATTTGTACCATTGCTTACTAAGCAGGGGCTCTGGGAGTGTCTACCCCAAGAGTCAGCATGGAGGAGGCACCTGTCCCCAGTATATTGACTGAAGTGCCCTTAGGACACAAGCAATGTCAAAAAGACCAGACAGTAGGTATGATGAACTCATCCAACATGAGAAATCAGAGTCATTCTTCCTCCCTGGGAAAATAGGCTCATTCAAGAAGGTAGATGGAGCAGCCAGTTGTAAGGCACTCTAGATTTCCTGAGGAATCCCCAAAGCTCTGAGGCTACTACCCTTGAGAATGGGAAGGCCAGACAGGGCAACATGAGCAGAGGGAACAGGCATCATCAGTTCTGGTGGACAAAACAGCTGTACGTGGCAGCTAAAGATCCAGCTTAGGTCCCAGGCCAGAGGCCCAGAGAGAAGCCAGACCTCCTCTGCCTCCTTTGTGGACAGCCCAGCCCTCCAGGCCCCAGACTCAGGAGAATTCCCGGAAGTGGGGTGGGGAACAATGGAAGGAAATGCTGAAGGAACTGCCACCCCCCACCCCTGCCAGCCCAGGCACTTCCGGGCTGCCCCAGAGACGATGACCAGGGTTGAGTGCTTGTTATTTCCTCCCTGGTACCTCTTTTTAGGCCATGAAGTGCATCCTTCATCCTCCACTGCAGTCATGGGCCCTGAGGTCAGTGCCTCTGAAGGGTCAAGTGGATTCACAGCCTTACTTCCGTGGGAGGAGGAGCTGGAAGGCGCCTTTCCCAAAGCCTAAGGGGCAGACTGTGGGGATCAAGTCCATGAGAGCCAGGGAGAGGCAGAGCCTCCAATGGGTAGATCGTGCAGAAGCATGGATCCGGAAGAGGAGATGCCATGTGGAGGAGGGGGTCCCTGGAGAGGCTGAAAGGGTCTGAGGCTTAACCACAGGATACCACGAAGGCCACTTCTTATTTATCCATTCATTTACACAAAGAATAGGGGAGAATAAAGCCTGCTGCGGCTTTATTCAGGGACCCTCGAACCCTGACCCGCCACCTGGAGATGGAGCCTGAGATATAATAGGCTTTAGGACCAGGTGCCTTCTGCACATCAGGGATGCTGGACACTCAACAGGATTCAGTATGAGGCAGGGAGGGTCAGGGCCAGCTCTGATCGTGTGCAGAGCCTGTCAGATCAGAAGGAAACCTTGTGGGCCCTGGTCCCACCTCCTGCACCTTAAATGCCACAGGCCTTCCCACCAGCCTGGAACTGATCCTCTCGCTCTATTTTGCTGTGCCCTGGAGCCAGTGGAATGTGGCAGCACAGGAAGCACAGAAGCAAAAAAGCTACCACCATGCTAAAGAAAAAGAAGTCAGGGACCAGCGTGGGGAGGGAGAGCAGCTTCATATGGACAGGGTGCACATTTTTCTCCCATAAAAAAGAAGTGATTCCCATTTTCATCATCTATCAGTGTCACTGCCCAATCAAAGAGGAATGGAGTGTGGACACGAAACCTCAGGCGTAAGCAGTGTGGGAGCGTGGGAATGAAGGGAGCTAATAATGAGGTATGAGAAAAACCAAAACAATTTTGTTTAGAAACACTGGGTCTTACTATGTCATCGTTTGTAAGACCAAAACACAAGGCAACTTAGATGGCATCATGCAAGACAGGCAAATAATGTACAGTACATTCACACCATGGAGTGCTGACACCTACAGAAATAATGGGGAAATCGGCCATGCATTTATAAGAACAATTTTCAAGACACAATGTTAAGTGAAAAAACAAAGCACAAAAGAGTACATATAATATGTTACCTAGTTCACAAAAAAAAAAAAGAGGAAAGTCAGGATCTGTATTGGCAATTAAGCAATAAGGACTCTGGAATGATCCATAAGAAACAGACCAGTAGGAACATAAATTAGTATAGCCACTATGGAGAACAGTATGGAGTACAGGTGTGCACTACTACATCTGCCCTGAGTTCAAACCTCATACTGAAAAAAATACATATACATGCACACATATATGTATATATCCATATTTGTACATATATACATATGCATATATTGTATATATATGGGTATATACATATATAGTTTTCTTAAAGGATTTATTAAATCCTTTAATAATCTTAGAATTTATTCATTCACTCAACTCCTTATTTACACAAGTCTCTGACCTTGTGGCACTCTCCTACTAAATGATTTCGTATTAGATACAGTGCCCCATACTTGACACACACCGCCTCATTCAAAGGGACACTACTCCAATGGGTAGACACTGTTATTACTTCAGTCCATCTCAGTCAAGAGTTGGGGGCTTGAAAGGCATTTGATTTGCCTGACTTCACACAAATAACAAAGCAAGCAGAGCCAGGGGCTTTGCCCTGAACCCCATGTTGAACCTATTAGGGTAACTCAGGACCCCATGAATGCATCATGAAAGACACAAAAAGGTCTGTGTTTGCTTAATCCATGAGAAGGGGTCCCAGCTGATAAATTCAGGGCACCCCTACATCCCAGAGCCACTGAGATGATTCAAACTATCCCATCCTAAGCTTGTTTACCCTGCCTATCCTGTTTCTTCTGGTGGACACCACAATAAACACTCTTGCCTGATGCTCTCCTGCTCCCCTGCCCCCTGATTGACCCCTGGCACTTCCCCATGTGGCCCTCCATAGTGTGGCATGTCCTCTCCTCCTGAGGACTCTGACTAACACGCTATCTTTCCAATGGTGGTTGACTATCTCATCTGTTGGCCTCACTATACCTGAATAATAATAAAAATAATGGTAATAATAATAATAATAATAATAGAACACATCTTAAAACACAAGCCTGCTAATTCCTCGTTGGATTGATTAGGAGTAAGTGGACATTTTAAAAAGCTGTTTAAAAGCTCATTGAGGACTATGGGTATAGCTGAAGTGGTGCAGGCCCTGGGTTCAATTCCCAGTACAGGGTGTGGGGTAGCTTGTTGAGTATACTTTTTAGGTGGCTTAAACTCATATGAAGAAAAAGGTCCAATATGGGGTGCAGGTCTGGAAAAGTGAGTGGATCAGAGAGAGGAAACCCAAGAGAGGAATGG